GCCATGTTGGACAGAGGCCAGTGGGCAAATTTGGCCAGGAAGTCGGTGTTAAGGCCCGACTATTTTTCGAAGGACATCCTGGGATTTTTTGAGACAGGATCTCACAGAAAGTCAGGATCTCGGCTTAACATCTCATCCAAAAGACAACACTCACTGAGCAGTATAGAGTCCCCTTCACTACTGAGGCGTTAAGACCCACACAGACAGCAGGTTAAGTGTCCCTGTTGACCGCACTATCACCACTTCAGGGAGCAACCTAGCTTTCCCATGTGGTCTACCATCCAGGTACTGACCAGGCGCAGCCCACTTAGCTTCAGTGTGTGAACATGTGAGAGTTGCAGAGAGCTATTGAAATTAAAAGTAAATAAAAGAAAAGAAGCATGTAATTATAATTGATGAATGCCAAGAGAAGTTCATTGCAATTAAAAGAATAAATATTGCAAGTGAGCATTTACACACTTTACTGTACAGGATTAGTAATAATAAAATTTAAATAAAATACGTTTGTTATTTGAAATAAACATAATAAAGGACAATTGATTTTATTCCTATTTTTACACAGTTTATTTTAAATGGTTGCCAATGAAATATTTCTCATTTGCATTTAGCTTAAACTTACTGTAAAAAGTGTTTAGTTGACTTTAGTTTAAAAAAGTGAGTAAACCCATTGCCTTAACATTATTAAGTAAATGAACTGTGCGCTATTCTAAACAATTAAGTGAAGTGAACTTAACAATTCCAAGTTCCCAGAATTACTCAATTTTTAAAATTAAAATCAACTTGCCACTTTTAAGGCAATGAATTTACTCACTTGTTTTAAGAAATCGCTTTTTTCATTACAAAAAGAAAAAACAAACAAAAAAAGCTATATGGCATTAAAGACAAATATATGAAATTATTTTGCAGGGGTGCCCAAATTTGTTCTGAAGGGCCAAAAAGATAACTTGATTGAGGCTAGTGTGCCGAAGCTAAATATAGTTGTCATGGATAATTTCCTGTTTTATTTAATAATATTTAAAAAGAAAGAAAACTATTATTTTTATTGTCAGCACTAATGGTGAATTGCAGAAACATATAACTCCATGGTGCTCATGATGACCTGAGTTCGATTCCCAGCTTGAGGTCCTTTGCTGACCCTTCCTCTCTCTCTGCTCCCAATACTTTCCTGTCTGTAACCTCTACTATCCTATCCAAAATAAAAGGTGAAAAACCAAGTAATTTTAAAGACAAAAACTATGCTTTTTATTAACTAATACAGCATTTATTTTTTACATTTTATAAAGAACTTGTATACAGAATACAGTAAAAACTAAAACTATTTAATTTATAACAGAATAGAGTTACACTAGACTATACATAGTCCTCTATTCGTCAAGTGACAGTATTTACATTTTTAAAAATCAGATTCATTTACAACATTTAATTGAAACATTTCATTTTTGTTTTCTTTTCTGTAGCTCAACAATAAAACAAACAAGTTACATCAAATAAGAAATGATGATCTCTATTAAAAGCATTTGCCCCAACCCTCTCCATACTCACTCTCTTCTCAGATGGAATGGTGGGCTAAATCAAAGGTTATGGGCCAACTTTGTCCCACGGGCCCTACTTTGGGCATCTCTGTTATGTTGCAATATATTATATTCACAAAAAAGACAAAACAAACAGTTCTTTACATTTTAAAATTAGTATTTAAAAATACCAGTTTAAAGCATTAATAAAAATGTATTATCTCATTGATACAAAAAAATGGCATTGCTATGTGAATGCAATGTTTTACAATTAAAATGCTCAAAAAGACTCAACATTGTACATCAAATTTAATCAAATTCTCCCACTACAGTAATCTAAAATATTTCACGATACTTTATATACTGGTAACACTTTCCAATGAGGTTGTAATGATAATTAATGAATTTACTAACATTAACAAACAATGAATTTATAGTGTATTACAGTATTTGTTCATGTTAGTTAATGGTAGGTAATGAAATTACAGTTGTTCTTTGTTAGTTCATGTTTACTCACGATGCATTAACTAATATTAACAAGCATGACTTTGAATGTTAATAATGCATTGGTAAATGTTAATGCTGTACATGTGTTGTTCAATTAGTAAATACATTCACTGATGAAACCTTAATGTGAAGTGTAACTTATATACTAGTTCTGAATAGTCAACTGAAATATATGCTGTAGAAGATATTGTTAATCACCATTTATGGCTCACTGCTACCACTTTGTTCTGGTGTGGATTTATCAAATTAGTGGCCAAAAATCATAAGCTGATTTCCTGGAAAAGCATGTGAGATGTGGCAGAGTGAGCCAGTTCTCCAGTAGACAGCACTTTGAACTGTTTTGATCTACCACCACCTACTGGTTAGTGATACTGATGAACAATCAACTTCATTGGTTTAACCCCTCAATAAAAACCAGGCAGGCACTGTGTGAAACCGCCTGTTCTTTTCTCACCTCTCAGTGACATTAGGGTTTGTAGTAAGGATTTCTCCATCTTGTGAAGGCTAGATTGTTGTTTAGTGCAGCAGGGGAAGCAAGTGCAGAGGAGGTGATATTGTAACTGTTAGTTTCTCTTCAGAAGTTGTTAGGAAGCAGAAGGAGAAAGAAAGTTAAAATCGAATGCAGACAAATTAGCTGATTTTTTCCACACACCATAGGAAGCACTGCATTAATTGTTGGTCAAACCCAGTGGTTACTTAATAACATCACGCCACATGACAAAAAAGTCATAAGGCTTCCACACCTGAAGTTGGAAGAAATACCAATACTGATAAGCCTGATATGCAGCATGGTGGCGCAGTGGGTAGCACTCTTGCCTCACAGCAAAAAAGTCACTGGTTTGAGCTTCGGCTGGGTCAGTTAATAGTTCTGTGTGGAGTATGCATGTTCTCCCTGTTCGCGTGGGTTTCCTCTGGGTGCAAGTCCAAAGACATGTGGGACAGGTGAATTGGGTAAGCTAAATTGTAATGCGCGATAAGTTGGCGGTTTATTCCACTGTGGCGACCCTAGGTTAATAAAGCAGGGAATAAACCAAAAAGAAAATAAATGAATGATAAGCCTGATAAACATTCTAATGGATTCATGTTGATTTAATTAAGCTTATGATTTTTCAAACCATTTTTGTCCCTTAATGTACGTAATATGGCAATCTTAGTCCCCCCCAAAACTAAAATGAACCACCTGAACAAAAATGGTGAACTGGCCAACGCACCAATGTTTAATAACTACATTTACAGTGCACTGCTGGATATAAAGATTAAAACATATAGAAATACAGTTCATGAAAATATAAATTTATAAATAAATGAAACTTTATTTGGTGAAATTAGGCCAAAAATAAATTATTAAAAGATAAAATAAAAAGATATTTTAGAAAATTACAGAATGACAATTATTACAGAATTAATCAAATTATTCATCAGTAACATCATACATTTCACAATTATTTTTTATTAGTTTTGAAAATAAGATATTGAGATATTAAATAATAATAATTAATGACTATTAAATAATTAGTATAGTAAAATATGTATACATTAATTATTATAATATAATTATGATAAAAAATATACAAAATAATAACAAGTATTAAATAAATAATAAAAGAAATAGTTTTTCCTAAACATTCTATATATATATATATATATACACTACCAGTCAAAAGTTTGGGTTCAGTTTTTTTCATGTTTTTTTTTTTAAGAAAATTATTCTGGTGGCATTTTTTAAATGTAAAAAAAAAGGTAATTGTCAAATATTTATAACAATTGTATGTAGTTTCAAAGTAAATTATTTCTCCAGTTATTGCTTTTATTACTATTACAATAATAAAAATCATATTAATAATAAAAATAAATAATATTAAAGTAATTTCTGAAGGACTATGAGACTGAAGACTTGAGTAATGAAGCTGAAAATTCATTTTTAAAATTATTGGAATAAATTATTAAATGACAAACTACTGTTGAACAGTTATTTTATAGTGAAATAACATTTCACAATTTTGCATTTTGTACTGAATTTTTGATTAAATAAATGTAGCCTTGGTGAGCAGGGGAATATGATTTTAAAACATAAAAAATCCTACTGACCCCAAACTTTTGAGAGGTAGTGTATAAAATAAAAAAGTTTTTATAAATATTACAAACAAAGGTGCAGACTGTGTGTGAAATAAGCTTTTTAAAATGTATATTAAACAAATAGAACGTACAAAGCATAACAACAAAACTATCACTTACTATTAATGCAGGGCTGCTTTTGTTAAACAAAGTTATACTAATAAATATATTAGAAATATTATAACAGGGGATACAGTTATAAATAAAATTAAAATGGAACAATGTATTCAAAAATATAAATTGGAAAAAGTTTGGCAATCTTATGAAATATACTGTATAAATAACAAAGTAAAAGAAGTTACAATTAAAATGTTACATATATCTAGCTAAAAAGGTTTTAGAGAGATTTAATTTGGATATTGATTATTCCTGTAATTTTTGTTGCTTAAAAAAGGAATCTATTGTCCACATGTTTTGTAATTTGTATATACACAAGGATTTTCTGGGTGGATGTGGAACATTTTCTAAGAAGGAAAACAAATATTGTATTCAAGTAAAAAAAAAAGATATTTGCATTTATTATGTTAATCCATGTAAAAAAAATTACCTTTCTAGTACAACTTTTTATTATTTTGGGAAATTTCATATACATAAAAAATGGTCTGGATCAAACCACACATGGTACTGTATAATTCTGTAAAGGACTGCTTTTGTTGGCACGCCCTCTCACTTTTATTTTGTAAAATAAACGGAAGTCACGTAGCGCATGAAATTTGCAACGTTTCCGCAGCTCAAATGTTTTGGCCAGAGCTCCTCCCTCCGGAAAATCTGTGTTTGGGTTTGAATTGAACCAATCAAATGCGCGCGGAGGAGGATTTTCACGAGCAGAGCGAAGTTTGAATTTGTGTAATGCGATTTACACTTTTACGCGCACGAATGTCTCTAAAGTAATATTAAAAACTCGACTTTTCCTGGAGAATATGTATATTTCTATCTGATGGAAGAAGAAGACTGACTTTAAGATAAAGCTCGCGAAAAAGTGAGTCTGAAGCCGTGTAGGTTAACGTTAGCCATGTACTGCTAGCCTTTAACTTGGGGCTCTTTAAATCGCCATTTTAAAATTTAACTTTACATTTGACTTCCCCACCTAAAAATGAAAGCGTTAAATGAAAAGTCCGCTGAAATAAAGCTGCAGGACAGAGATCTCAGTAAGTTTGTTTTTGTGCATTTTTACGTGGCAACAGAATTAATCCTCACGATAACAGAATGTGCTAAGGTATATTCTCGTTGACGTTGACTGATTTTAATATTTTGCGTTTGTTCTGCAGTTTGCTGTCTATGTAAGAGATCTGAGAATAATAAAGAGAAGTATGGAGAAAAGGTTCACCTTGAGCAGCACAACCTGGCTGTCCACTTTTTTTGTCTGGTGAGAAATTAACAACTTTGGTTTAGTCTTGCATTTTAATGTTTATGTTGAGTGAACCATTTCCTGTTGTCTTTTATCTGTTACCTATCTGTTACCTTTATCTAACGTTATCCTGAATTATGTGTCCTGAATAAATTGAGTACACAAGACATGGACCATTTATATGTAAATTATTTATATATATATATATATATATATATATATATATATATATATATATATATATATATATATATATATATATATATAACAAAACTATGCATTGGTGGTCAAAAGTTTGGAAGAGTCTTTTTTGAGACAAGTCATGTACAATTCAAATGTATAGTAAAATTGTGATATTATGAAATATTATACAATAAAAGATCTATTTTCTTTTTTTAAAGGGATGGTTTACGCAAAGCTGAAAATTCTGTCATCAGTTTTTTCACCCTTGACTTGTTACAAACCTGTTTGATTTTTCCCCCTGTTGAACACAAATGAATTATTTGGAAAAATGTTGGAAATCTGTATCCATTGACTTCCATAGTGTCTGTAGTGTTTTTTGCTACTGTGGAAGCCAATGGTTACAGGTTTCTAACATTCTTTCAAATGTATTCTTTTGTGCAACAGAACCAAAGAAAATACTCATAAAGATTTGGAACCACTTGTAAATTGGAGTGTTTGGGTGAACTATGTTAAAATGTAAAATCAAACAAAAAGTGTTCAGGGGTAGCTTAAATATTGTGTCAGTGCTCTTTAGGTTAGAGATTCATCAGAATAAACAACAAAAGTAAGTCCAAGGCTCTCAAAAAACGTAGAAAAAAATATTAAAAAGCATTTACTGACATGGCAGTTTTAAGAAATAGTCATGTCAATAAAGACTTCTTATTATTTTTTCCACATTTTTCGAGTGCCTTGAGCGGACTTTTGCAATGTTAAAATGTAATTTATACCTGTGAAAGCATGGTTGAATTGGCTTTAGTGTCACCTGATGTTTCAGAAATAATTCCAATATACTAATTTATAAAAAAAATAATAATATTCATAGTTGTAACTGCCAAGTCTTTATTTCTTGTTGTCTTCGAGGAAAAAGAGCGTTTTCCCCTTCATCTACCCCTACACAGATATAGTTGGCTAATACTACATATGGGTCAAAGACATAAAAAAAATGTGTTTAACTGCATTCTGGCTTTAATTTTTATATTAGATTAATGTAATTTTTAACCATATATTAGAATGTGTCTAATGTATTGTTTTCAATCAAGAAATCTTGGACTGTTACGTACATGTTGAAGCCCATCACCAAAACCTATACGCATTCATCCCTAAAGTTTCTAAAGGATAAGTTTTTAATCTAATGTTACAGCTGATGTCTAGTGGAATATGCCAGAGAGGAGAGGAAGATGAAGACGTGTATGGTTTTCTTGTGGGTGACATTAAAAAGGAGATCCGCAGATCATCGAGGCTGGTAAGTAAATATTTTACCCTTGCCATGTTCTGTTTAACACCTCAGAAACATTTTTGAAACTTGTGTCACTTTATTACTTGCAGAGATGCTTTCATTGCAAAAAGGCTGGTGCTTCAGTGGGCTGCTCCATCAAAAGCTGTCGGCAAATGGTCCACATGCCCTGTGGATTAGAGCAGGAGTTTGTTTTCCAGTTCACAGGCTTGTTTCCGTAAGTGCGTTGTTCCTTGTGAATAGCAAGATGATGGTGTAGAAAGTATTGATGTGAAGCCTTTTAAAATATTATTTAAAATGTGTATATTTAAAAGGAAAGTTCAGACTACAAGATGAAAATTCTCCATTGTTGCTTTATATCAGGGGTCAACAAACTTGTTTCTGAAGGTCCGGTGTCCTGCAGATTTTAGCTCCAACCCTAATCAAACACACCTGAACAAGCTATTCAAGGTCTCACTAGGTAAACTTGAAACATTCAGGCAGGTGTGTTGAGGCAAATTGGAGCTAAACCCTGCATGGACACCGGCCCTCCAGGACCGAGATTGGTGACCCCTGCTTTAAATAAGCAGCAAATTTAATTTTGGCTTTCATTTACAGGCTTGAATTAAGCTGCTTCTGGATTTATTTTTACATCTGTTCATCACTGAACAAATGAGTATCCTAACAATAATAACAGAATCTAATGCATTAACCCTATACATGTTTGTAAGGCCAGTTCACACCACACAGACCGAGGCAAATGACACTTTGTTGGATCAGTCTGTTACCCTTATCAGTGTGTGTGGAGTCACTTGTGTCATATAATGTCTGTGAAGTAGCATGCCATAATTTAATGATTGTATACACTACCTGAAAAAAGGTAAATCTGTTGAACTGCATCCTAATCATTACAGATACTGCAGAATAGATATATTGGAACCCGACATCAGTCAAGTTTAATGAAAAAAAAAATCATGGTTTGGGTTTACATTCAATATGGGCCATGAGAAAGATCAGTTGAGTGGATGGCAACATCAACTGCCTGAGGTATCAAGACATTTGTACTGTCCATTACATTACAACCCACAAGAGAGGGCAAATTCTTCAGCAGGATAGCGCTCCTTCTCATACTTCAGTCTCCACATCAAAGCTTCTGAAAGCAGAGAAGGTCAAGGTGCTCCAGGATTGGCCAGCCTAGTCACCCACATGAACATTATTGAGCATATCTGAGGAAAGATGGAGGAGTAGGCATTGAAGAATAATTCAAAGAATCTTAATGAACTCTGGGAGTCCTGCAAGAACGCATTCTTTGCCATTTCAGATAATTTTATTAATAAGCTATTTGAGTCATTGCAGAGATGTATGGATGCAGACGTCCAAGCTCATGGGAGTCATACACAATATTCATTGGTTTTCCACTGCACCATGACTTTATTTTCTATACTGTACATGATTTCTGTTAAAAGACGAGGCTTTCGTCTAAGAAAAGTCAGACCTTAGTGTCCTAATTAAATAATTAATAATCAAAGCATGATTATATTTGATTTTGGTAAAAAAAAAAAAAAAAAAAGCAAAATCTAGAGGCCTTTGCCTTTCATATAATCTACTTCTGATTCCAAATGATCAACTAAAAGTCAAGTTATTATTTGCTGTTCCTAAAACTTGGATAGGCAGCAAGATTTTGTCTTGTCAGGTAGTTTATGTTGCCTGCATCTGTCAGTGCTATTAATTGGCCTTTAAAATAAGTATCTTAGGTTTAGCAGCACCCATTACTCCAGTCTTCAGTATCCTTCAGATCAGGGGTGTCCAAATCTTGGATCATGCGACAGTCTTGTCGAATAACATTTCTTGTTGAATAACAAAAAAACAAGCGACCCCAACCTATTTAAAAGCAGCATCATTGTTGTCAATTTTACGAATGCTCCTCTTGGTACTGATCATGGCAATCTTTTGCAGGTCTTTCTGTAAAAAGCATGCGCCTACTCAGTCCTGTGACTCCAGCCACAGTCTGCCCCACTCCTGCTCCATCTGTCTAGATCCCATTGAACCCATCCTCTCCTATCATGTCCTCAAATGCCCTGCATGTCATGGAAGCTGGTTTCACAGGAAATGTGTACAGGTAATCTTTTTAACCACTATTTTAAACATGTTAATCTAAGTTAGAACTTTGAGCCAGATCCTCCACTCTTGTGTTTCAGAATTATGCACACAGCGCGGCAATGTTTTTCTTTAAATGCACACTCTGCAATAACAAGGAGCAGTTTCAGCAGGAAATGCTCCGAATGGGAATATATATACCAGAGCGGTAAATAATCCTTCTGCTATTGATTCTAGTCATTCGAATTTCTATTAACTTGTTTATCCTAATGTTTTATTTGTAACACTGTTATTCACTGCTTGCTGGAGTAATGTTCAAATAATGTTTTTAGTTACATTGTTTTTTATTTTCCAGTGATGCATCTTGGGAACTGGAGGAGAATGCATTTGTAGAGTTATTGCAGGTCTACCACCGCTGTGATGCAGTGAAGTGTCTGTGTCACAAAGGTCGTGAACACAGCTCACAGTCAGGGTAATCAGTGCTTTTCATTCAGTCATCCCAAATTAATCAAATGAAATCAGAAACATATACTTGTGGAATGCTCCATTTTTTATGTTGGAGAGACTTTAAATGAAATATTTATTTATTTAGATAGGAAATTTGATCAGAAATAAAAATTTAAACCGTTTTAGATTTTTATCTTGTATGTTATTATTAGTATAATTATTAGTTGTGTATTTTATCATATGAAGTATTTATTATTTATGCATTATTAATTGCTGTTGATGACTTTTTATTGTTAAATATTTAAAAATGATAGAAAAGTGATATTTAAAAAATATAGTAAACTTGATCTGTTTCGAAACTTGACTTTGGGCTCATTTAGGTCTCGTTTTTGTGGAATGTTGATTAATGTACACTGACCTTGGTTGAAAAACATTGTAACTATCAATCAATTAAGAAACGGCTTTTCTTAACAGGTATTTTGAAATAGTTCTCTGCAAGTTGTGTGGATCCAGGGGAACTCATCGAAAGTGCTCTAATATTCGAGTTTATGAAGCTGACTGGATGTGTGCTGACTGTAAAACTGCAGCTGAGGGCAAAAGTGAGTTCTCTAAACTGTTGTATTTTTGTGGTGAATAATAGAACAGCCTCATGTGCTTGGATGTGTCTCTCACTCTAGGTTTTAAATTTACCTCAGTTTTTTTTGTTTTGTTTTTTTTTTCATTATTTTTACAGCATCATTGCCATTGCCAAATCATGTTGAATCGCCACTGGCTATAAGACAAGAGAGGAAGAGGCTGTTTAAATCGATCTCTGACATTCACTCTTCAATCGTCGCTAAAAGGTATTTTTAAATTGATAGGATCTGTTCTAAGTCCAAAATATTCTTGATCTTTTACAACCCTTTTTTTATTTACCATTTTGCTGTATGGTAAGTTTAACTGTCACTAAGTTTGTTGTTCTTATTACATAGTAATTGTGTAAAGCGCATACTGTGCAAATAAAACTACTGTTTAAATATTACTATAAAAAGGTTATTCTTATTAACAACAAAATTAACATTTATAAATAAATTCCATGAAAATAAATGCACTGGGAGAGTATTTGCTGCACAAAACATATGCCAGAGTCATAATTAACGGTTCATTCTGCTGTGACGATCCCCTGATAAATCAGGGAATAAGCCGAAGGATAGTGAGTAAGTGAGTAAATACTTTAATTACTTGCTGGGTTCCCAAGCTTTTTGGAAGTACTTACATTTCAGACATATAAATTCAAGGTCCATGAAGTACTTAAAATCAAACATAGGTACTTGAAAGTGCTTGAATTAAATTTGCAATAAAACTTGTTTACAGTGTTATTTCAACAATTATACTGTGCTGCTGTCAAAAACAGAATGGAAAAACTGAAAAAGTCTTAAATAAAAAAAATCTTTACCAAATCTTTACCAAAGCCTTTACATCTTGTACAACAACACTGACAAATAATGCACATTTTAACAAATTTTACTAAAGTTATTTAAACATGACTATTTAAAAACGGTCAATTTTAGACATTTTAATGTAAATATTAAGTGTAAGTAAAATGTTAAAGTTAAAATGTGAGTGAAAAACAAAGTAGAGTAAGGACATTCATGGTACAGAGGTGCTTCATTTAAAATGAATGCTGCTTTAAAAAGTTTTTAAATCTGATGTCCATGAAAGTGTGGAAACCCTGTATTTGGCAAATCGTTGTTTTGGGGTTCTAGTTAGGCTTGGGAGTGGGTCAGGGGAAGATAAATCTATAGGTATAAAATGTATACATTTATAAACATAATAGCTAGAGAAGCTGTAAATCCATGCATGTGTACAATAAAGTAGTAAATGTTCATGCATAGTAAGGGTGTTTTCACACTATGTACAGTTGCTTTGAACCATGCCGAAGCACGCTTTTCCCCTCTCCCCCAACGGCCTGCACTCACATTGCATCCAAGCCGAAGCATGCTCACATCATCGATGATGCACTGGTCAGTTTAACAGAAGAGAAGTTCTCTTTCTCAGCACCATGGAGATTTCTTTAGTTTTATCGTATTAGTTGTTTGATATGCAGAGACAATCAAATAATTCACAGACGAGATCAGTCGCTTTTGAAGCTCATATAAAATCATAAAGTCCTCGTGCTGCAGGCATTAAAAGGTTTGCTGAAGGTGCAGCTGAAGTGCAGTAAGGGATTTGCGTCTTTAATAAACAAGTCCTTTAAACAGTCCTTTAAAAGGCATGTCTCGTCTTCAGTTTTAGCCTTAAGCAGGTCGCAAACCAGAAGCGCCGCTCGGCGGCACGCCATGCATTTTAGAATTCTAAACATAGGTTTCTATCAGGATACACACACCGGCGCCGCAAGTCGGCAGCGCCCGGCCACGGCTCTGGACGCAGTTCATTTTTCAGCCGCGCCACAGAGCGCCATCTGATTAGTTTCATGTTAAATATCATTCGAATGTGCGCGTCTGGTGTGTGATACTTTAAACTGTCATGTGCGTGCCGTGTTGCGGCGCCGAGCGACGCTTCTGGTGTGCGACCTGCTTTAGGCACACTTTGCACTCACACTACAAGCGTACCGCGGCAAAGCCCAACTGAACTGCGCTATGGCACACCTCTTCCAACCGGGCCAGGGCCGCCCAACTGAACTGCGCATGAGCCCGATAAAGAGCACTCCCACTTCTCAAACGAACCAGGAAACGCGCTTGGGCACAGTTCTGATTATTGTATACAGTTTAAAATAAAATTATTGCTCAAGTAATTATGCTTTTATTACTATTACCATTAATAACAATCATGATAGTTAATATTAGAGTGATTTCCAAAAGATCACGTGACTCTAAAAAAACTGGTGTAATGAAGCTGAAAATTCATCTTTAAAATCACTGGAATAAATGATTAAATTAAATGATAAACTGCTTTTGAACAGTTATTTTAAAGTGCGATAAAATTTCATCATTTTACATTTTGTTCTGTATTCTTGATGAAATAAATGCAGCCTTGGTGAGCAAAAGAAGTTGATTTTAAAACATTTAAAACTCCTTTTGACCCCAAACCTTAATAAAGCATTATCTAATTAAATGCACAATTAAGATCATTTATTAGATGATTTTGGCTGTGTTTTGATCACTAAGTGCACATATGAACTATTATGAGGCAAAGTAGTAACAGCTTTGTCATTGTTTTGTAGGCAGTGTGTGCCAGCCACTTCTCCGGAGGTCTTAATGGATCTGGCCTGTCAGATCTCACAGCAGCAGTTCACAGAGGTGCTGGTGGGAGATGATGATGGTGGCGTGATGGAAGCAGCTCTGCAGGTGCTGCGCCAAAGTGACTTTAATCCCTGCTGCACACTTTCTGTCAAATTCTCCAAGGACAAACTGAACAACAACATTAGAAACCAGCGTCGCTTCCTCAGGCGTCTCGTTTCAAAACTGCAGGTCTCAGACATTTTTGAGGGATCCGATGGAGCTAAAAACCTGGCTCTGAACTCAAAAGGTACATTCAAGCCCATTTTTTAAAATTAGAAATGACCTTTACTAACAAAGCTAACAACTGTTGTGTGTGCAACAGCTCTGAGGGACGATCTCTACTTTGATGTCGGCAGTCTATTGGCCCTCTCTTTGGTTCACGGAGGTCCTCCTCTGGGCTTCTTCTCTCCTGCACTGTATCATAGTCTGTTCAACTATCCCAAAAACTACAGGCCTACTTTAGAAGACCTCGGAGACACTGCTTTTGGGCACAAAATCAGACAAGTGAGTTTATTTGTGTAACTTATTGAGAACCTAATGGTTGTTGTTCACATGGTAAACTATAGTGTCTCTGTGTTTTTAGATCGCAGAAGCAAAGTCAATGAAGGAGCTGAGACATGCGATGAAGTCAGCATCACAATATTTGGAAGCTGCAGGCTGTTGGCGGAAGATCAGCAAACTCTCTGAGAAAGACATGTTGGTGGAGGATGTACTGAATTTCTACCTGATCATCAGACTGCAGCTTCCTCTGCAAAGGTTTGTAATCTAAACTGTTAAGAAGTATATCTTAGCATGTATAAAGCATAATTATAGGGTCAAATGTGTCAAATCTAGTGATTGATTTATAATAAAGACAGTATGAAATTATTAAGATTAGTTAGGATTTTGGGGCTGCACTGTGATCCTTAAAGGGCACCTATGATACAGTTCAACTTTTGTAGACTGTTTGGACAGAACTGTGTGTAGGTATAGTGTCAACCGTCATATTGGAGTGATATAAACCCCTTTTTTTTTTAAATTTCCTTATGTTAAAATAGCGATTATTTACAGTTTCAACTCAAAGAATGACCAGTCTGTCAGATGAAGTAGAGCCGGAGTCAGAAGTTTTACTGAAGATAGTTTGCAGTTTCATCAGCAGAAGCCAGCTTCAACACTCGCAATGAGTTCCTTGGCTGCTCTGCTTACAATCATAAATCAACATCAATTATACTCTCTACACAAGACCAGAAAGAGTTTGATTCAGGTAACAGGTTCCGATTGGTTAAAACAAAGATAGACAGTTCTAAATATGTACGGATGGCAACAGGAGGTTTGGGTCAGGTCGGCTGCCAAGAGACAATTAGGAGCTGGTCTTAGACCTGCAGAACTGACCCATCGGATGAATATATACACGCAAGTGACAATCTGTTATAAAAACCCGAGGTTGTTTCTTCGTACTCTCAGCTGTCTTATCGAACTAGTTCAAAACTGGTATAAACAGCATTCAGACTGCTATATTTTTACTACACAAAGTCTATCTTAAATAAAAGGAAAATCGCTTTAAACTGAATATACACATAACAATAATATCAAATTCACTTTAGACAGTATTAACACATAGCAATCCAAATAGGAAAACAGTTGTTTTTAATCATCAAGCCCTTCAGTTCCACTTGAGGTTTCCGTGACCTCTGATCTAGTTTGGTGGCTCCTGAAAGTAGAGTTAAAATAGAAAGACAAAAAGACAGGCAAATACACTGAACATTCTTATATTATATTAAGCAATGTGTTAACTTTATTTATTAGTCTAAATCATTTAATGATTAAATACTGAATTAAATAATCATGTTAATAAAGTTATGAGAAAAAGGATAAATGTTGATCCATGCTGGGATGGGTTGAAAGGCAGAAATTCGAGTCCATCAACCCAAATCCCAGTAATTTTGAGGCCCACAGCAAGGAGATGTAGGAGTGCGGTTTATGGAGACAGGTGCCTTGTCTCCATAAAAACTTGTATACACATGTCCACAGAACATTTTTTGCAAAGATACATGTTACAACTCTCTGTGATCAGCTGCACATCAATTAATTTTATAAGTTTAAAATGTTTTTAAAGCAGAGCCCGTTTGTAATAAAGGTAATAAAAATAGTGGGCGGGGAGAAGCAGCTTATTTGGATTTAAAGCCACAGGCTACAAAAATAGCTACACTAACCTCAGACAGCAAAATGGGCAGATTCTGGACGATATGATAAATTATCTGATGAGTATTTTGAACTGAAACTTTACAGACACATTCTGAAGACACCAAAGGCGTATATTACATTTTGTAAAAGGGCTAAAATTGGTGCCTTTTTAAATAAAGTTTAATAAATGTTATCAAGCAACACTTATTCGAAATATTCATGAACTAAAATTTTGTGTTTATAACATTGTTGCATTGATAATTTGTTGTTTGTCTTCTGTAAGGTGTGTGTGTGCGTGCGTGCGTGCGTCTGTCTGTCTGTCTGTCTGTGTCTGTAGAATTTTTATTTTTTTATTTATTTTTTATTATTATATGTAATTTTTCGCATTTCATTTTTACATCTTTAAGACCCATAATTATAACATTAATTGAACATATTTTACCGTTCAACAATTTGGTTGGTACGATCTCTCTTTTATTATTTAGTGAGAAATCCATTATTTTATTTAGTACGTTTCCATTAAGCTTATCAAAAGTGACTTTAAATATGAATGACAAAAATGAAGAATGTTTTATTTAAATTAAAATTGAAATGATTACAGATTTTTTTCCATCCATCATAGAATGTTAATTAAAGTCTTTTACGTTTTTGCATTTAGAATATGTAATTTGTCACAGAACCAATAGCATTTGCATTATACTGTCAGATATTAGAAACCTGGATTAGTATAGAATCTTAACATTTTTGTATTGTGGTAAACCAAAGTAAAATGTTTAAAAATTCGATAGTAATTTCTAAACTGTGATCACATTAACTGCCCCACCAAAAACAATGTGGATTGCATTTCTTAATTCCTAATGGCGGTAGTTAACACTCAAAGCATTTGTTTTTTCAGCACATCCCATAATTTCTAAAATATCAACCATTTGGTAGAGGTAGAAATGATGCATATGCTATGAAAATCTGAAAAATATGAAGTGTAATTTCAATTTATAAAAAATAATAATAATAAAACATTTTTGAATACTAAATCAACTTTATTTTTTAGTGTGCCATAAAATATTTCCGATTCTCGTTTAACTTGTTTTCTGTTTGTTTCTGTTTTTTACAATAAAACCAAAAACAAGTGTAGTAGTGCAACATAATAATGTTTGTTTGTTTGTTTGTTTTTTTGTTCTAGTTTTTTTTTTGGTAAACCAACGATGCTGTTTGTGTAAACCATTATTTAAAACAGTCACTTTTTAAAGGAATGTTTTATTTAAAACAGACAAAATATGATCATCTATAAGTAGAGCAGGCAGTGGAACAGTTAAGTGGAGCAAAAACTGCTAGAAAGTTTGCATTAGAATCATACAAAAAATGTGAAATAACTTCAAATAGAACACAGTTATTTTGAATTGTTGCATTTATTTCAAATAAAATGTATTCATGAACATGTATTATTAGTTATTATAAAATTATTAGCTCTTTAATTTTACCTACCCCAATCTGTTTAATTCTAGTGTATCCACATAATGTTTTAAAGCACCTTCATTTTTCTTCATTGTGAGCAAATGTTCATTCAAGCTCATATTTCTTTCCTCAGATTCCGTGAAGGTTTGAGGACACTAGGAATGTTCGAGCAGGTCCAGATGTGCTCAGAGACGTTCTTTCCAGTCTTCTGTGGACCTGTGGAAAGGCTGACGGCTGAATCTGTCATGGAGCTCTTCACAACCCGGTTATCAGAAGAAAAAGAAAAACAAGTTCTAGAAAAGACCACGATAAGCTTTTGGAAACAGTATCTGCATGAATGTGAAGGTCTGTGTGTTACATTTTGGATTAATATGAAGAGAATAATCAATGCATTTTGAATAATTTTAACCCTTCTCTTGTGTTTCAGAGGGTCAATGTGCAGCATCGCTGGAGGACCTCCTAACATTTGCCACTGGTACAGATTTGGTTCCAGCCATCGGATTCAAGCCCACTCCGTCCATCTCATTCCTCAGCTCACCAGACAACTTGTGTGCTTTTCCTCAGAGCAACTGTGATGCCAATCATCTCATTCTGCCTACTCTACCCTCTTACCAGCTCTTCAAGAAACATTTGGATTACACAGTGTGTCAGTTCTCAGTTATGCAGGACATTTAAAGCCGAGCTGGATGTTTCAGTAGAGTCATGGTGTAGATTCACATAATGATTTACAATGGTGCTAAAAGTCTTTTTGTTTGCAGTTAGCGAGTATTATATCAACAGTCTTAAATCGCATTAATGTAAATGATTCACTCTATTTATCAGTAGTTAAACGCAGGTTTTAGAACTTGATGAACTCTGTGTTGTTTAAATGGTCTCAGTTATTGATCCAATTTAATTCTCAAAACAATTTGAGCCACTCAACTATTGAAGAAAAACTCTGAGGTAATATTTTCTACAGAAGCTTAGACTCATGGAAAATTTGTTTTTAAAAAAAAGATTATATGTGTGCTTTTCTTATCAATTTAGACTTGAAGAGATTGGTAAAGCTGGTCATGAGCATGTAAATGTAAATAGCTTAATGTAAATGTTGCTTTGAATGGCTTAGATGTTGATTTTATTAGCTTAGAAGTGCAGAGGTTTTTAAACCAAAGCCCAAAGTAGTTGAGTAGTAATGAGTTGTTATGTTCTTTGTTTAATTTTGATTTTTCTTATAAAAAAAAAAAAACTGCAAAGCTTAAATTGACGCGCTTATAATTTTCTGGTAGCCACAAGATGGAGCAATTGCAAGATTTTTGCCACACTGCTAATGGCAAAATGCCGTCACTACAAATGAAGTAGTTACTGAATGAATTGGTCTGCTTTGCTTGTCATTTACATTAGAATCACATTTAAGCAGGTATGTCTTTGTTCTTGTACAGTTTTATTTCTCCTGATGTCGTTTGTTTGATATCTTGACAACTCGATAACTGCTATAACTTATTTGTTTTAACTTTCTTTTACTGTGTTTACTTTCATTAAATAATGAATGGATTTATAATGTACTTACCTGAATGTTTTTTTTCAATCAGTCTTAAAATCACCTATCAATAATATGCACACGTCCATCACATCAACAAAACACTGATATACATTTTTAGTCAGAGCGATTAGATAGACTATCTATGCATCCATCTGTTTGACTGAAGTCTGTCTAGATTGCCATTCATCCATGAACGACTTTATGGATTGAGGACTGGACAATATAAACAGACTCTAGCCAAAGACAAACGAATAGATGCATTGATCAATGTAAGAAAGATAAAGCAATAGATAACTGGATAGACAGACTGATGAATACAGTGTAGTCAACATTTGAAGTGGAGGAAGGTTTGTTAGAATTGTTTTAAGTGATTAAGTTGTTCACTAGCTTAAGGAGAACTTTGATAAGAGGTTTTGGTCCACTTAAAATGTGGACTACTGTATATTGTCAGATGGGCAAACTGACAGATTTTATTGATTTTCTAGAATTGTCTAAAAAATCATCTTTTTAACTTTTATACTATTAATAACCTATTAATATCATTTTGCTTTGGTCCAAATTAGCTATATCATTTTTTTCATATTTTTTAATCATTTGTACTTTTTCTTAGATGTAAGATGATGGATAGACAGACCAAAGGATGAATATGCAGATAGACAAACTGATGGATGAATTGATGGATTTGATTGACATTGATGGATGGATGAACAGATATGTAAATAGACAAACTGGATAGATTGGTAGACAAAAGGATGAATAGATAACCAGATATATAGACAAGTTGATACAGGGATAGACAAAAATGAATATATAGGCAGATATATAGACAAATTCATACATGGTGGGATGGATAAACGGATGAATAGATTGACAAATTAGGGCTAATCATATTGAAAAAAATATGATCATGCAATATTTGAATTGTATCCCACTTTGGATCATCACAGTTTAAATGTTATAATACTATTACTTTTTATTTTCATAGACTCAAATAAGGATAAAACAATACAATTCTATAAAGCCCTTAGGTCTTGAAATCCATAAAACAAGGCAAATGATAACACTGAAATGTGCCTGTCAATAACTTAAAAGAAAGTGATTGTTTTCTTCTGATAAATAATTGAACAAAAGAGAAAAATGTTAATTTAACTTTAATATTTTTGAGCCTGGTAAAAAAAATGCTTTTCATAATTTTATAATTTTATAATGCATATATTCTGTCTAGAGAAACTAAATTAAAACTCAAAATATAAATGATTTAAAATCATCTGATAAGCTCTCCTTGATCTGTTTACTGAGGATCTCCAGCGGTGTGAGTTCTTGTACGCTGACAGACAGCGGCTCGCCGGTTGCCACGTCACCCTCGCAGTCGTCACTGCATAAACAGTAAAGATGGCGGCGTCCATCCGGGAAAAACAGACAGGTCTGTTCTAAAGTTTTTATTTATACACAAATACTCAATGCTGGCAATATTATTAATACTAGTCATTTTCACACGATTTTAAAATCTGTCAATTAAAAATACAGACAATAATGCTGAATGCAAAACAGCAGAAGTAGTACAGTCCTGTCAGTGTAGCTGAGGATGCTAACCGTGATGTTCATAAAGCAGCTACTTAATATGAGATGAATGAAAGATTAACCTACATGAGCGCATAAAGAAACACTTGTACTTTAAAAATATACGAAATGTATACGACTATTATTACCTGTGAGTCCTGTCATGAAAATAAATTGATCTGATTTAGCAAGCTAGCTCAAATCACGAACATTATTCAGATCAATACTTAACGTTAGGTACAATATATTTATGATAATTATTGGGTAACGTTACAGTGTTGAAGGGAAGGTTACGTACGATATTTTAATTTATTTATACTTAATTTATTTTAACTAATTCTATATGCGGTGCAATATCACATTAATATAACGTTACGTGTATTGTGGATAATTTATCGTTAGTGGATAATATATTTAATATAGTTATTTGTCCTAACAAATCTTTATTGGGATGGACAAAAATACCTTTGTTATTATTTGGTCATTTAAATATTGATTCTCTATTTTTCCGGTTTTCTTTTTTCTTTTTTTTAAGTCAGAGATACACAAATGACATGATATAACCATAACCTATAATTTGATGTTGTTGTATGCATTTAAGTATGGGATAGAGATAACGTTGGTTTTCTGACTTTCCCCTTAATAATATAATTTCATAAAAGTATTATTTGCAAACTCTAAATAGCGAAATCCTATTAGCAGCCAATGACTATCAAAGTACAACATTGTTCACAGTCAAATAAACAGTGTTAATGTTGTTGAGAAGTCATACTTGCATGCTAATTTCAATAGAATATTCAAAGTAACATGGTAAACAATACAGAGACTTCTAAATGAACGAATGTGCAGATAAAAAAAACAACTTTACCTCTATGAGTATGGGTTCTGATTTAATGTTCAAGCTCTTAATTTCTTTTTGTCAATTGAACATTTAAGAACTGGTGTTTGCTTTTCATTTCACAAATGTCAATTGCATTTTATTAAATCTACATTTATTAAATCAAATCGAGAATTAGATCAAGGGTCAGTTGGGTTCTAACAGAAATGAGCGCTTACAAATCAGAACTAATGAACATTGGATAAAATGCATCATTTCAAATTAGGGGAGAATCTATGCTTTGGTTGTTAAACATTTCAGAAGCAAGAAGGATTTTGTGATTTGGTTTGTTTATCTAATCCAGTGGTCACCAAACTTGTTCCTGTGTGTCCGGTGTCCTGCAGATTTTAGCTCCAACCCTAATCAAACACACCTGAACAAGCTAATCAAGGTTTGACAAGGTATACTTGAAACACCCAGGCAGGTGTGTTGAAGCAAGATGAAGCTAAACCCTGCAGGGACACCGGCCCTCCAGGACCGAGATTGGTGACCCCTTATCTAATCGTTTATTTGTTCATTATTTATTTATTAGTTAAAATATATGTGTGCAGTGCACACACAAATCTTTGAAGCAAAATCAAGTAGATGTAAGGTTCTATTTGTTAACATAAGTTAACTACAGGGGGCGAGGTAGTGGCGCAGTAGGTATTGCTGTCGCCTCACAGCAAGAAGGTCGTTGTTTCTGTGTGGAGTTTGCATGTTCTCCCTGCCTTCGCGTTGGTTTCCTCTGGGTGCTCCGGTTTCCCCCACAGTCCAAACACATGCGGTACAGGCGAATTGGGTAGGCTAAATTGTCCGTAGTGTATGAGTGTGTGTGGATGTTTCCCAGAGATGGGTTGCGGCTGGAAGGGCATCCGCTGCGTAAAAACTTGCTGGATAAGTTGGCGGTTCATTCCGCTGTGGCGACCCCGGATTAATAAAGGGACTAAGCCGACAAGAAGATGAATGAATGAAAAGTTAACTACATTGGTTTACAGCCTTTTGTATGAGTTACTTTCAACAATAACACACTTTATTTCAACATACAAGTCTAGCTTTTACTGAACAATTGACTTTTACCTCAGTAAACACCTTATTTGCTCCTTGTTAATAGTTATTAAGGTAGTAGTTAGTTTTATGTATTGGGTAGGATTAGGTATATACTGTATAATATCATTTTGCAGAATTAGGCATGGGCTGGTATAAGATTTTGACAGTATGATAACCTTAGATAAAATTATCAAGGTTACACAATTTCTCAGTATTATGTTCACTGCTCTAAAATATGCTCTTTTTTAATGTCTGGGTAAAAAATAAAAACTTTTGCCTTTTAAATTTGAACACAATATATTTTATTTTGAGAAACATTTAAAATATTTTGGAGCAGTAAATATGTCAGGCTAAATAATGAAAATGAATTGTTAACTTCTGCTGCCTTCATTAGCTTACACTGATTTCTTTACATTTAAAAAGTGCATCTTGGATATCTTTTCCGCCGGAGATACTGTTGTCCTTAAAAACAAACAAAAAATAAAAATTTACAAAAGAAAATCTTACAAATACCGTGGGAACGGTTTAACTGAAAATGTTGACGTTTTTAAAACCTGACTTTTCCAAACCGTGGTAAACCTTGAAAAAGATTATCGTGCCATCTCTATGCAGATTATATACTTTATAAGTACAGATTAACAGCCAGCATCTTAATAATAGGCAGCTAAAAAAGGCACTAGTTAATAGTGAGAATTGGTCCTAAAACTATTTTTTTTTAAATATCTTTTTATGTTAATAATATATCACTAATAAATACAACTGAAAACTGGGGCGACGCAGTGGCACAGTAGGTAGTGCTGTTGCCTCGCACCAAGAAGGTCGCTGGTTCAAGCCTCTGCTGGGTCAGTTGGCGTTTCTGTGTGGAGTTTGCATGTTCTCCCTGCGTTTGCATGGGTTTCCTCCGGGTGCTCCTGTTTCCCCTCAGAGTCCAAAGACATGCAGTACAGGTGAATTGGGTGGGCTGAATTGTCCATAGTTTATGAGTGTGAATCAGTGTATACGGATGTTTCCCAGAGATGGGTTACAGCTGGAAGAGCAATCGTTGCATAAAACAAATGCTGGATAAGTTGGCGGTTCATTCCGCTGTGGCGACCCCAGATTAATAAAGGGATTAAGCCGAAAAGAAAATGAATGAATGAATAAACAACTGAAAACTGAGTTAACATGAACTAAATATGAAGAGTTTGCTGTGGTTGTTGTTTTTTTCTAAGATTTATAAAGATTGACACTGTCAAATCTTGCATGTTAACTGTTGTTTAGAATTGCTAATATATGTCGTTGCTGTTTCTCTCCTCAGCTGCTCTCAAACGAATGCTCAACTTTAATGCCCCACCCCTTAAAAACACAACAGCTGAGCCAGTATGGAAGGTAAGAGACAAACCTAGAAGTTTCCCCTTTTTAAATGTGCTTCAGTGATGCTTTTTTGGCTCACACGTTGCTATTCTTGTTAGGTTCTTATTTACGATCGCTTTGGCCAAGACATTATATCTCCGCTTCTGTCTGTGAAAGAGCTACGAGACATGGGCATCACTCTGCACCTGTGAGCACCTCTAAAACATCCAGTCAGCAGTTTCATAATACTAATCGAAATGATCGTTCACAATTGTTTGTTTCTCTCTAGCTTGTTGCACTCAGATCGCGACCCCATTCCAGACGTTCCTGCCATTTACTTTATAATGCCCACAGAGGAGAACATCGACAGGATATGTCAAGTAAATATGCTTGTTTTGGTCAGTCCCATTCAAAGATAATTTGTTTGAATAATTTCAGAACATTTATATGCTCCATCACAGGACCTCCGAAACCAACTATATGAGTCCTACTATTTGAACTTCATCTCCGCAATTTCCAGAAGCAAATTGGAGGATATAGCAAGTGCTGCGCTTGCGGCTAATGCAGTAAACCAGGTGACCAAAGTAAGTCCGACATGTTTGTTCACAGTGAGTGTCTGTTGTGCTTTTGCTAGAGCTCGAGCTCAGTGAAGTCCTGCAGAAAGCCAAATAACATGCTGCTCATATTTATTTCAGCTTAAATGTTAGACTGTTCTGTTTCTCCTCAGGTATTTGATCAGTATTTGAACTTCATCACACTTGAGGATGATATGTTCATTCTCTGTAATCAAAACAAAGAGCACATCTCCTACCATGGTAAGCTGTTAAACCCACTTGAAATATTAATTATTTTTAAATATAATCCAGAGTTATTAATAGTTGTCTTGTTCTGTTTCCTCAGCAATCAATAAGCCAGATATCATGGACACAGACATGGAGGGTATAATGGACACAATAGTGGATAGTCTCTTCTGCTTCTTTGTTACTCTTGGTAAATGAGGATATTAATTTGTTGTATCCTGTCATGCATATGCACTACCATTCAGAAGTTTGGGGGTTTGTTAAGGGGTTTTATGCATGTTTAAAATGTCTCCTAAGCTCACCATTTAATTATTTAAGTTTAATTCATATTGTGGGTTTCATAACAGTTTAAAACAACTGTCTAATTTAAAGGCATAGTTCACCCAAAAATCAAGATTTACGTACCATTTATACTGGCTTATGTTGTTACAACCATTTTTGAGTTTCTTTTTTTCACTGAACACAAAGAAGATGTTTTGAATGTTGTTCAACGGTGATAAGCTTTGACATCCATAGTAAGACAAAAATAGTATGCAAGTCAGAATTATTTATTTTTCAAAATATCTTTTTTTCTCTTTATAAGAAGAAAGAAACTCAGATTTGTTTGGACCAAGTGGAGGGGTTAGTAAATGATGACAGAATAAACATTTCTGGGTGAACTATGCTTTTAATGCATTTTAAAATGTATTTATTCCTATAATTGCATTTTTAACATCATTACTTCAGATTATCACATGGCATGATCCAGAATTCTTTCTAGTATGCTGATTTGATGTTAAGGAAACACTTCTTATTCAATCATTCATTTTCTTTTCGGCTTAGTTCCTTTATTAACCTGGGCCACAGCGGAATTAACCGCCAACTTATCCAACATATTTTTCACGCAATGGATGCCCTTCCACATGCAACCCATCACTGGGAAACACCCATATACACCCATCCATACACGTACACTACGGACAAATTTAGCTTGCTCAATTTACCTGTATCGCATGTCTTTTGGACTTGGCACCCAGAGGAAACCCACGCAAACGTGGGAAGAACATGCAAACTCTACACAGAAACGCCAACTAAGGCACGAACCAGCAACGTCCATGTTGTGAGACAACCACACTTATTATTATTGTTATTATTATTATTTTTATTATGTTGAAAGCTGTTTACAGGGCACCTATAATGAAAATGTATAATAAATAATCTGATGGGTGTTTTGAGCTGAAACTTTACAGACACATTCTAGAGACAGACTTATCTTAAATGTTGAAAAAGGGGTTAAATAGGTGCCTTTTAAAGAACAGCATTATTTTAAATACAACATTTGCATGCTCTGAATATTGTTTACTATCACTTTTGATCAATTTAAGTCATCCTTTTTTTTTCAAATAGAATATTTTCATTAAACTTACTTACACTTTTAAAATGTATTTTGCACTTTAAATAACCAATATCAAGTTAAAAGCACATATTTTAAACAATTTTGTGCCTGTATTATGAAATCATGAAAGAATAATAATTGATGATTGCAAACAGGACTCCCAGTTGCTGTCTCTGTCTAATTTTGACTAATGTGAATTTAAAAAGATTTTATATTTTATCAAAATAAAAAAGCAGTCATATTTTTAGCATCAAGCTCACATTACAGCCATTAGTTTAACTGTCAGAAAGTTCCACTGGGTGGCAGAACCTTTCTAAATATTGTTCTGTACATTGCTCAGAAGACCAAAAAAATGTAGATGCATTGAACTGATCCACTCTTTAATTATTACATTCTACAATTATATATGACAGTAACGTAACCATTCAAATTTAGTGCAGCGATCAAGCCCGTATTGTTGTTTTTGAAATGTGATTTTGTGTGTCTTGGGAGCCTGTGAGCAGATATTCAGTTCACCCTCCTGTTGGCAGTACAATGAGCTTTCCTGTTATCGTAGGTGCTGTCCCAATAATTCGATGTCCAAGAGGGAATGCTGCCGAAATGGTAGCAGTGGTAAGAGAGCCCTTACTCTATTTTTGTTTCAGTTTTTTGTTTTTTTTAATGAACAGTCTGAGACACCCTTGTTTTTCTTTGTTAAATAAGAGTTTATGAATTAAGAAACAGAGTTTTTTACTGGTCATGAATGGTCTTGTGACGATCACCTAAATAATCTTTGTGTTACAATGGATTTTGTTCTCTGTGTGTATGTGCAAACTGATATCATGGCGTAATTCATTTTCACTGATGGTACAGAATTCCTCTTTGTTCCATATGTGAGATTTAGTCCAGTCTCATCTCGCTTACACTGGAGCTTTTAGATGATTCCTTTCAGCAAAAGAATGTCTCGCTGTAATTTGAGACAAAATTAACACCCATTGCTCCGTTTATTAGATTATTTTATACATATCGAACAACTAATTTCTGCTGCAAATATTAGTAATGTTGATTTGACACTTTGACACTTTTTACCCTCAGAAACTTGACAAGAAACTGAGAGAGAATTTGAGAGACGCTCGTAACAGCCTGTTCACCGGAGACACCATGGGCACTGGCCAGTTCAGGTGGAGTAACAGGGTGTCCGCAGGGTTTTAAAAAGTATTAAAAGTTGATAAATCAATGTAGAGAAATTTAAGGCATTTAAAAAGTATTAAAAAAAGTCTTAAATGCTATTTTGCAAGATATTAAATTTGATATCATTTTTGATTGTGATTTGTGATGTATAGTCTTATGCTAAGGTTTGCCTGAATTAAATCTGTGAATATCAGAATGGTGTGTATTTATTAAAGCTAGGAAATCCTATAGATTTGACATCATGCTGCTTTGTTTACTGCAGTAACCAAGGCTTAACCATTATTTCTGCTGCTGTATAGGCGCCAATCTGCTTAATTAGCTAGATTTGAAAGATTTTTATTCAGTATATAAATAATGTTTTTAGTTTTTAAGGTCTTAAAATGTATGGAAATAGTCTTAAAATAGGTCTTAAAAGGTATTAAATTTCACTCTCTGATTCCTTTATATACCATGAGTAAAAACTCCTGCACTCTTTATTACACAGCCCATTAGATCTGGTTTGATTAAAATATGTTTATTATTTTAAATTAGCAATATTTTATAAGTTAATATTTGTTATTATTATAACAATCTATATTGTAAAAGACTAGTTTACCACACACAATTTCTGACTGGGTAAAGATAGGCAGACAGACGGATGGATGAATGGAAAGATAGACAAAGGATGGATTGATGGTTGGAAGTATAGAGAAAAGTTTGCTTTATTTATACAGTTGAAGTCAAAATTATTAGCCCCCCATGTGAATTTCTTTTTCAAGTATATCCCAAATAATGTTTAACAGAGCAAGGAATTTTTCACAGTATTTCCTCTCATATTTTTTCTTCTGGAGAAAGTCTTATTTTTTCATTTCGGCTCGAATAAAAGCAGGTTTTAATTTTCTTAACCATTTTAAGGTTGATAATATTAGCCCCTTTAAGAAATGTTTATTTTTTCCTGATAGTCTACAGAACAAACCATCATTATACAATGATTTTAATTAACCTAACTTGCCCTAATAACCCAGTTAAGTCTTTAAATGTCACTTTAAGCTGAATACTAGCAACTTGAAAAATATTTAATAAAGTATTATGAACTGTCATCATGGCATCACGGTGGCACAGTGGGTGGCACGATCACCTCACAGCAAGAAGGTCGCTGGTTCTAGCCTCGGCTGGGTCAGTTGGCCCATGTTTGTGTGGGTTTTCTTCTGGTTTCCCCCACAGACCAAAGACATGCGCTATAGGTGAATTGGGTAAGCTAAATTGGCCATAGTGTATGAGTGTGAATAAGAGTGTATGGGTGTTTCCCAGTGATGGGTTGCAGCTGGAATGGCATCCGCTGCATAAAACATATGATGGACAAGTTGGTGGTTCATTCCACTGTGGCGACCCTTGATTGATAAAGGGACTAAGCCGAAAAGAAAATGAATGAACAACAGAAGATGGTTGAAAATAGAGGGGCCTAATAATTCAGGAGTGCTAATATTTCTGACTTCAACTGTATGTCCTGAGAAATACAGTTTCTGGATCTTAGAGACATGTTTTCCTCCACTCTCTTACAGTTTCCAGAGGCCGTTGTTTGTTCTTGCGGATCGTAACCTGGATCTTGCGACTCCTCTCCACCACACATGGACGTATCAGGCTCTAATTCATGATGTGCTGGTGAGCAGAACCTAAAATAAACTTGCATGACCCACAATTAATTCATTACTCCTTTTTTCCCGCTGTTGATAAAGTAATGTTCCCTAAAACGGAAAATGAAAATAGTTGCGCCATATGGAAAGATGAAGTTATTGCAGTTATCATATGGATGACAAAGGGGTTTCATGAAATGTGGAATGTACGTGCTGGGCTCCTTTCCGTGCCAGTGATCATTAATCCTTCGGGTATTATTCTACCGTCTCAGAACTGCTGCTGCTGCCTTAGTAAGGTCTCAATTCCCTGGATGGCAGCAGTTCTGAATTCTGCCTTTTTACAGTTTCTGCATTTAATGCATTCAAAAGAAAGGTTGCGTATAGTTATTATGGTTATACATATTTTAGTTCCTGCTAGGCATGGCACGTTAACAGGTTTCAAGGTTTACCGTGTTTTGGAAAGGTTTTAAAACTGCCTAAATTTACTATTATATTGTTCCTACCGTATATTTAAAGAACCCCTATTATGGATTTTTTAAAATGACCTTCCAAAATGCGTTTCTGTGTGGAGTTTGCATGTTCTCCCTGTGTTCACGTGGATTTCCTCCGGGTGTTCCAGTTTCCCCCACAGTCCAAAGACATGCGGTACAGGTGAATTGGGTTGGATAAATTGTCCTTAGTGTATGAGTGTGAATGTATGTGTGGATGTTTCCCAGAGATGGGTTGCGGCTGGAAGGGGTATCCGCTGCGTAAAACGTGCTGGATAAGTTGGCGGTTCATTCCGCTGTGGCGACCCTGGATTGATAAACGGACCAAGCCGAAAAGAAAATGAAAGAATTAATGACCTTCCAAGTGTGTAACACAGCACTAAGTCAATGAAAACATCCAGCTGGGGTTTAAATCTGAAAGTGCACAGTGTTTAAAACTATTGATTCTTTAATGAAATAGTCGACTTAGAGAAGAATGCATTAATCGTATTTGGTTCGGATCTTTTGCTTGAACGCGTTGACGTCGATACGGTAGATAACTAATAATATAGTGCCAGATCCGCTAAATGCGTTTCTGAATGACCTAGTAATCTTCTGCCGTTTGCCTTTGCTATGGCCAGCATCAGCTGTTCCTCACACGCACAACTCTTAAATTTTCAAAATAGTTCAACTTTTGCCACTGTGGGGATTAATACTGAATGTGTGTCAATGTTATTACTCCATGTTAGGTTTAAGAGTAGGTTAATTTGCTGGTGTTTTAACTGCATTGCTTTACTGCATTCCTGCATTGGGCATATACTCATATGCTCTGTCCTACTTCATAACCGTGGTGGGAGTTTCACTCGTTCTGAACCCAGTCGACCAATCACAACAGACTGGGTCATCGGACCAATCACAGCAGATTAGCCTTGTGCAAAGGTGGGGTTTGGGAACAAATGAATCGCTGAACAAATCATATGGGAGTTGATGAAAATAAATAAATGCATATTATAAGACAATAAAAGCGTTTTTTGACCTTTCATATGTATCAGCCTGTTGTTAGAGACCCTCAAAACCAAAATATGACCTTTTATAATGCATAATAAGGGCTCTATACATTTTTTTATTTTTTTATGACTATAATAATAATAATAATAATAATATAACTTGTAATATTAGTTTTTTAGGGCAACAGTATCTCCACATCAAAAGCTATTGGTCAGGCCACGATTCAGCAAAAATTTGATAAACAAATCGCCTAGTGCAGTGGTTTTACTTTATATCCAAAGAAAAGAAAGATATCCAAAGATGAAAAAAAATTTTTGTTTTTTAATCTAATGAAGACAGCGGAAGTCAGTGATTTATTTGAATTATTTAGCCTGACATGTTTGCTGTTCCAAAAATATTTCACATTTTTATTCAATTAAAATAAACTGTGTTTAATAGGGGGAAAAGTTGTTGTTTTTTACCCTGACATTTAAAAATAGATCATATTTTACAGCAGTAATCACAATGCCGTTATAGAGTGAAACTGTGATATTTTCATCCAAGGTTATCATACCATCAGAATGTGACACCGGCCCATGCCTAGTTCCTGCATTGTGCTTTGGTTCATTTCTATTAACCAACCAATCCCCCATATTAGGACTTCCACCTGAACCGAGTGAGTGTGGACGAGTCTCATGGGTCAGAGGCCAGTCCAGCCGGAGCACGACCCAAAAAGAAAAACAAGAAGAGCTATGATCTCACTGCTGCTGACAAGTTTTGGCAAAAACACAAAGGAAGGTAAACATCTAATGCTGATAAATCTAATGTATACAAATTAAAGGGTTAGTTCACCCAAAATTGAAAGTTCTGTCAATAATTACTCAACAGTCATCCCAAACTCTTGAGAAGCTTGTTTGTCTTTGGAATAAGGAGATATTTTAGATTAAATCTGAGAGCTCCCTCATACTGTCCCGACTCATTCAAAGTCCAGAGTGGTGCCAAAAAAAAGGCCATATGACTTCAGTGGTCTGAGTATTATGAAGTTATGAGGATACATTTGTGTGCACATAGGGTAACTGTTAGACATTTTATGTTATATTAATTTTATATAACATAAAATCTTTAACAGTTACCCTATGCACACTATACTGACACAGAGAAGAAACTGTTAAATAAAGTCTTTATTTTAGATTTATATGTGCACAAAAGTGTTTTCATAGCTCTATAATATTCTGTTTGAACTACAGAAGGCATATGGTCTGTTTTAAGGATGTATTTTGGTATTTTTCTATAACTTATTGACAAATGTAAAAAAATTTGGGTGAACTAGCCCTTTTTAAATCCGTTTAACAATTTTTAAAATGAATGACTGAATGAAGGGAAGGAAATAACCATTTGACACATTTATGTTTTGCTAATATTTTTCTAGAGACCTCTTTGTGTTCTAGTTTTGATGAAAGGGTTAGTTCACACTAAAATAAAAAATATGTCTTATTTTCTCATGTCATTCCAAACATATATGACTTTAGCTCTGTATTGACATACATTGTCAGTGATCTCAATACAAGCGGTCAGCCGAGACACATTACAATTTCCTTTTCTGTTTTCCTCTTATTTCGTCGAGCTCTGAATCACTCTCACAGGAGAGTAAAGTACTGTTAAATGAAGGAATATATTACACATCTTGCGAGCCAACAAGCAGTAAATGAATAAGATATAGAATCCAAATACTATTTTAGTCTTCATCTAAGTGTTTTAGTACAGCACAGTGAAGCATGAACACTTCGTTTTGGTGCACTTTCTCACAATGCGTCCCATAACGATCACATGTCAGGTCAGTTGGTGGAGAAGTAGGTGGTCTTTTGCTGGGCCATTTGAACACATGATAATCTAGTCTACGAAAACAATCTGATTAAATGTGTTTTGACTACTTCTGTAAGTGGTTGAAAGTGGACAAGCTTCAAACGTTTTAGACCCGGTTTTGTACCCATATTAAGTGTTGTCCACTTGTGATTAGATTGGCCGAAAATGCATGGTAAGGCCAGGTATAAATAGACCCTTTTTTATCAGAGAAACTTTTGTTTTTCTTTCATACAGTGACGTCATGGAAAACCAGAAAAGTTGAAAACAAATATGCAGCAAAATACTGTATGTGTGTTCTATCGACAGAATAAACAAGTCATACAGGTTTGGATGGCATGAGGGTAAATGATGACAACAAGTCCTGTTAGACACATTTAGTAATCCAACTGTACTGGCAAACACATATTTGATAGGAAAACATCCCTGGTTGTCTTAAATCAATCAAATCGTTTGTCAGACATGATCACAGTGTTTGCTAATATTTAAGGACATTCATTTATTTTAGCAAAAATAGCCTCAGTTCAGTGTGTTTCTGAAAAATAATGACACCTAAGCCATTTAATATAGTTCTGTTCTGTATTTCAGCCCATTCCCAGAGGTTGCAGAAGCTGTGCAGGAGGAACTGGACACATATCGAGCCCAAGAGGATGAGGTTAAACGGCTCAAGAGCATCATGGTAAGTTCATAAGGCTGATGTTTAAACGTATATAAAAGATTTGTTGCATGCTGGTTAATAAATGCGGTTTTGTTCAAAGGGCTTAGAAGGGGAGGACGACGGAGCCATTAGTATGTTGTCAGATAACACTGCCAAACTTACCTCAGCCGTCAGGTATGAAGTTCTGTGTACTGTGATGTACTTGTGTGAAGGATCAGCATGATGTGTTAAAGAATACTTATTACTGTCCATATAAGGTTGGATTTTATTTTTTATGAAAAATAACATGTCAGAAATGTAATATAAAATTTGTTTCATTTATTAATTATTATTACATTATTAATAGTAATACTAAGTAAAAAGCAAGATACATATACTATTAATATAAATTATAATATACATATTCTCAAAGACATTTTCTTGGCCAACAGTGGCAAAGGAAAAGGTTTTTCATTTGTTGATCCTCCCACTGAAAAAAAGTTAACCTCTCATCTGTTATTTATTCAATTGTGTATCTGAAATATACCCTAATATAATCTAATAATATTCAGCACTTGTCTCATATTGCATGAGTGTCGTTATACATATGTATTAGTCACTGTTTTGAGAAATGGCCTTCGGCTGTACCTCTGCCTGACCCTGCATGTATAGAATAAGATAACAGCATGCTCCTCTCTACAAACAGTTCTCTTCCTGAGCTCCTGGAAAAGAAGAGACTGATTGACCTCCACACCAACGTTGCCACAGCAGTTCTGGACCACATCAAGGTCAGTGCTCCATGAGAAAAATGTTTTTCATCTCTTGGGTTACATTTTCACAGCACATTATATTATTGCTGTGAAGCGGAGCTGCATATTTTTCTTCTAAATTTGCCTGTCTGTCTTTAGAGCCGTAAGCTTGACGTGTACTTCGAGTACGAGGAGAAGCTCATGAGCAAATCCACACTCGATAAATCCCTGCTGGACATTATCAGTGACCCTGATGGTGAGTCTTTCATGTGTTACGGGATTTCTACAATTCTTCTTTAGTATTTTTGTTTTGTTGGCTGGAGCATTACAGTTAACACAGTTCTGCCCAAAATGTAATACATTATATTACGTGTTAAAATAAGCAGTAGGTCAAACATTATAATGAGACAATACAATGCAGAGCACACAAATATATCACTTTTTAATAAACATTTTCAAAAAAGATTACATTTACACAAAAAGTGCATGTATTTTAAAGATCAGCATCACAATATCAACTACATATGAAAAGCAATAAATGGCAAAGGGTTTTTATGCTCAGTGAAAGAAATCTAGCAAGGTTGAGCCTGGTTGATGTTGTCACATAGCTGGCGGCACTCTGAAAGGTGAGATGTTATAAAATGCTTTGGCTTGAAAATGCGAGTGTGTTGTACTGTGGCGCATCGCCTTCTATTCGCACATGCAAGCCACGCATCTCCATTTGATTTAACAAACTTGAGTGCTAAATAAACTATATGATTTTTCACAAGCCAATCAAAGATGTCCAGTGTGCCTTAAAAGCCCAGGTCTGCATCAGAAATACAAAATGAAGAAATTTGGTCTGGTTTCATTGGGAAAAACACAAAAGAAATAACAAAACACCAAATGTTACGTTGCACATTGGATTATATGCGCGCCCCAAGCTGTGTCTGATTTCCACATTTCCTAGTAAGATTACAACAATTATGTATTATTTTCTCTTTTTTAAGTTGATCTAAGCTTATTTTAAACATGCCATGTTTGTGGGACTCTTTTGTGATAACGAGAGAGGCAGGATGAGTAAATAAGCTATCTGTGAAACAGACAGCCATGCGTTAAAACCGTTTACAGCTCATCAGAACACAAATGCAGAATATACAGATTAGAAATGTATTTAATGCTACCTAGAAAGAGCATAAGGTCTGTTTAAATGTATCTTTTGTTAGTTTACTTAGCTTACTGGGCATGTATGTTTGTAATGAGACAACAAACAAATGTAAACTGCTGAGTATAAGTAAAAATCTGCACTGAAAGTGACATAGAAACTGAGGAACAACAGTACATTATTTAGTGTTTTCAGTAGGTACTGTAAATGTTGTTTCTGTTTAAACTCTGTTTAAAGTGTTGATTGTTTAACCCATGGTGTGCTCCTCATAGATTGACAAAACATCAAATTATTGATTAAATTTTCTTTCTTTGGACTTCAAATAAATTCTTACATTTTCCTTCAAAAACCTGCAGAAACCCTGCATTACAAATCCAAGTCTAATAGTGTCATCAGTTCCATTCCAGATTTGTGATAATAAAACTTAAGCCCTATTTAGACAGGATTATTTTTATAGGGGAAAGTGGGGTCATATAGTAATAACCAAATCCTCCCTGTGATTTTTAATCCTGTCCAAATGTACCATGTCAGTAGTTATTCAGACCTGCTCTGCATAGTCTGCTGCTGGTAAAGATTACAATAGGGTTGTACAATTAATCAAAATGACACCAAAAAGACAATTAGTGAATTGCAAATGCTGCAGTGTAATTAAATTAATATGTATATGCAGTGTGCTTAGTTTTGCACTCAAAACATGGTACTGTACTCCATTACACTCAAACAGTTTACAGTCTACCCACCATAAGAGAATTTTTAAGGGCGTCTGGCTAAAATAAAAGTTATTTAAATAAAATAAAACAGACATAAATGTTAAACATAACTTAAAGACTTTCAAATAATAAACATTAGCATTATTTAATAAACGTTAGCATTATTTTATTATTTTTCCAAAGTTTTTTTATATTGCAACAGTATTATTGCAACAAGCCCTATTTAGGCCTTAATAGAAATCTTTTTTATTACCTTATAATTTTTTATAGTTGTGTTGATATATAACACTTATGTTTTTGCCAAATTGTGAAGTCTCACAAACAAAAAGAAATCCTTTATTTATTTATCAAATTCTAAAGCACAGACCAATAATTGTCTTGCTACAAACCAATAATAATAATGCTAGGCTATAGTAATAATATTGATGATGACAATAATAAGAGCTTTGATTAATTTGTGGCTTGGCAACCCGGAAAAATTACACATTCTGCCTTACAACACCCCATAATTGTGGTCAAATCTTTGTAACGCTTGGCCTCGAATGGCTTATAGCTTTAATAAGCCTTGACTTGTCAGCTGCTCTTTGAGCTTGACCGTAATCCAAACACCACGATATCCCTCAAAGCATGGCGTCCTGCCTTACTGTCATAAAATTTTGTTTTACCAAGAGCAGCCCCATCCTGAGAGATCAAACGAAACTAATTGAATGAGTAACTCATACCCCCTTCCCCTAATGAGAGCGTATCCCACCCCTCGTCCTCATCCAGTCATTTTTCCAGCTTAGTGGACTGAAATGCATCACATCTCAAGGGGAAGCGGCCCGCTTTAAAGGCTCTCTGTGATGCTACCACAGGACCAAATTCGTTTTCTCTCCTGCCAGCATTGTGAGGTTTCAAGAGGACACCGTTTCTTGATCTCCACAGGGTCCTCTTTAGGTCTGTGGGTTTCTTATGAGTACACAGGAATGGTCACTAGCTATAATGATAATGATAATTTATTTTTCAGGGTCTACACAGGGCTTTATTGTTCCTAGCGCAATGTTTGATTTACCGATCAGGTTTCAGAGCATCAGAGGGAACAAAGTTGCAAAAACAGCAACAAACTGTAGATGCTCTTGAATTTAAAGTAACTGTATGCATTTTTATGATGACTATATAAATGTTGTTCTTGTCGGTAGCTGGAACGGCAGAGGATAAGATGAGGCTGTTTCTGATCTACTACATCACTTCCCAGCAGCCCCCATTGGAGGTAAGGCCCCACACCATGCTCATGATCTGTCATAGTCAACTATAAATAAGAAAACCTACAGATCATAGCAGCCTTTCAGTACAAGTTAAACTTACTGACAGCAGTTGTCTGTTTTTATTTCAATCTTTTGTATGACATTGCTAATTTAATATTGAGAGTTAAACAGTAATATATTGTCCATTGTTAATCCCATCCCCTAACCTATTATTCACTAACTCAATTAACAAAACAATAATAAATAAATAAATATATTACAAACATACAGTTCATTAAATACATGAGTATATGACATCAGGGAATATTTATCTGTTTATTTGGGGGGTTTTCACAACAAACAATAAAACACTCTTTATTTTATCTTGTATAAAATCAATTTACTGTCAGGCACATGAGTAAATGTGGAAAATGTATTTTATGGAAGCACCCCACCTATTAAAGCACTTATTTACACGTATTGGTAAAGTCTAGAAGTGATACAGCTGAGGATAGCTGTGCACACATCAGTATAGCATAATATTTCTGACATCTACAACAATTACTATTTTTACATTACTGTGAGGAGAAGGTTTAAGATTGCAGTAGGCGTTAACAAAAAATAATGGGTAATTTAAATATATTGCAGCAACTTGTATATTAATTTAGCTGTGGGTCAGGTTAGGAAGCAATTTGTTAAAATAAAATCATATAATTGTGTCTGAAGCTCCTCGCTATCGACTGTATTGGCAAATATATATCATACTCTGCCATTTTGTAGTGGTGTCCGAGTTCTGAGTGAATGACTTTATTTTGTACATCCGTTTACTACTTTTATATAATAATAATAATTTATTACATTTATATAGCGCTTTTCTAGACACTCAAAGCGCTTTACACATTTTTGGGGTTGAAATCTCTTTATCCACCACTAGTGTGTAGCATCCACCTGGATGACGTGACGGCAGCCATATTATGCCAGACCACACACCACAAACTAGCTGATTGGTGGGGAGACAGAGTGATAAAGCCAATTATGATATGGGATGGTTAGGAGGCCATGATGGACAGAGGCCAGTAGGCAAATTTGGCCAGGATGCTGGGGTTAAACCCCTACCTTTTTCCGAAGGACATCCTGGGATTTTTAATGACCACAGAAAGTCAGGACCTCGGTTTAAAGTCTCATCCGAAAGATGATGCTCACTGAGCAGTATAGAGTCCCCTTCAATATACTGAGACGTTATAACCCACACAGACCACAGGTTGAGCGCCCCCTGTTGGCATCACTAACATCACTTCCAGCAGCAAGCTGGCTTTCACATGTGGTCTTACATCCAGGTACACAGGCGCAGCCCTGCTTAGCTTCAGAGGGTCGACCATGTGAGAGTTGCAGAGAGCTAGCTGCCGGCTATATCAACAATCCTCTTTTCTTTCTATTTCCAAAAATCAAATGCAAGATCTTTCATTTTGCAGAGCATGTAAAAGAAAAAGAATTTTATGCCAGGTTTACCTCAGCAATCAGCTCAAGGACACTGACAGAGAGGAAAGAGAGGAAATTATGTTTAAGTTTTGTATTTGTTTTGGTTGTAGTTGATGCTTTTTTTGGTTATATTTACTTACTGTTGTTTTTATGTGATGACATGAAAAAATCATGGCCGAAGTTGCTTTTTTTCTTTTCAATTTTAAACATAATTAAACCAATTAAATATATTTAATTAAACTTAGGTAATGAGAAATAAATGTTTTGTTATCATTAAATAATACAATAAACAGAACAACGAAACAGTGACACAATTAATGAATCCAAACAGGAAGTATAGAAAGTGTTAAGTTTTCAAGTGTAATGCTCATGATGAGATCATCCTTGCTCATGAAAGGATCTGAATTTGTTCAGTTTTCCTGAAATGGTGCACTCTTAGCTGGCATACGCTACATAAGGATTAGTGAACAAGTGAAATTATGAACTATTGTTTACATGTTGTGACTGCACTTTTGACACTGGCATCATTTTTTCTCATAACAGTGAGAAATGAGTTTTTGTGGAAAACAAAATTATGCCACAAAATCTGTCAACTAAGCCAGTGTCTTCATTTTAACTGTCCTAGATAAATAATCCTAAAAACGTAGATTTGAGGTTGACTGTGGTGGGCTACCCTGACGTGCACTTTCGGTAACACCACATTTTATCATAATCAGTGGCGAATGCATGGATTTCATTGTTTGGGGAGACATGGAGCCAAAAACATTCTGTCCGTTCCCTATGAAGCTCGGCTCTGCTTCTTAAACTGCTTTCAGACTGAGTCTTCAAAAGCCTTGTTGTTCTTCAGGACACATGCAGTGCAGATTTGAGGAACACTGACACCCTTTTATGTCACGGCCAAGTATTATTACTCTTGTACCTTGATAAAGCAGGATTGTTCAGTTCATGGCAAGATCTCTTCTGCTGGATGTTACTTAAACGCCAAACAAATGACAGTTTTTAGTTCCTGTGTACACTTCCGCCACTGAAGAGGATGGACCTGTGGGACCACGCTGGGTTGGAGGATCTCCAAGTGGCCATAGTTCAACTCTGGAGAAAGAGCACTGGCTTGAGCTTGACTGTCATTGTCTATTTTGTTTATCAATACAGGCTGTAAAAGCTTTGAGTTTCTAAAAAAAGAACGGCGTGCTCAGAGTTTGAACTATTTTTCCGTGCCTTTTGGTTATCCTTTCTTTCATCTGTGTCCTCCTGAACCAGTGTAGGTTATTGTTGGCTGAGCGTTTGCTTAAACTCCAAAAGCAGCCATTTTGTTGTTTGTTTTCTGAGGCTGTAATGAGGTTGGTGACATGAAAACGGCCCTCTCAGTCATGTGGTATAGACGACTGACAGGAACCAGAGTTTCTCCTCACCCTGATGGATGCATATGGCTTGTGAGCTGTGTGTCATCCCTCACTCTATAAAAACAGCTCCTCTTGAACTATTTAGTTTTTTATCTTCGAGTGTTGAAATAATAAAGACATTTTGTTCTTTTTAGGCTGATCTAGAACAGTACAAGAAAGCCATGGTTGATGCAGGCTGCGACCTATCCCCACTTAACTACATTAAACAGTGGAAGTAAGTTCTCGCCATAGTCAACAAACACACCATAACATGCTGTCACATTTGCCTAGTTACTACATTAAATTCAACAGAAAGATCAGAACAGTAGTGTTGCAACTAATATAACCTATTTTCCAGAGCTTTCACCAAGATGGCTGCGACGCCAGCCAATTACGGGAGCAGTGGAGTGAAACCTATGGGGTATGAGGCTACACCACATTTAATTCTCAAAATGTGAATCCTTTTGTTAGTGGCATAAGTGATTTGAATGCAATGGACTGTCACTTTTCCAGACTGTTCTCAAGGGTGATGAACACCGGCTCCCAGTTTGTGATGGAGGGAGTGAAAAATCTGGTCTTGAAACAGCATGTGAGTATTTAATAGCACTTAAGGAAATAAAAATCATAAAGAAGTGTACAAACCTATTCAATTCAATCCAATCTGCTACCATTTGACCAAATAATGCATCTTATTATGGATATGTGAGTAAATGTATTTTGATGGTCCGTTTGAGTAGACTGTCTGCTTAATATCTGTTGATACTGCTCCTTCAACAGGCATTTATCTGACTCTAAAAAACTTGTCAACTTACACTAACCCTAATCCCAACCCCATCCTAACAGTCTACTTATAGTCTAATGAGAATTAGTTGACATGTAGATGCTATGTAACAAATGGACCATCAAAATAAAGTGTGACCGATATGTGCATTATAGCTTATTCTAATTAAAGAACAAACATAAAGTGTATCTAGGGACCAGAAGATTGTACTAAAATATGTTTGTTGCTCCAATAACAAGTGTAGACCGGGTCAACTTCGGACCACTTCACAATAACGCATTTGCCCAGATTGTTTTTTGTTGTCTAAGTGCTTGGGTGGTCAAATGCATTCAAAACACATTTAAGACCACTATATTTCTAAGTGCTGACTTCATTTCGTAAATCACTTCCATTTTTTTACTTTAAAAATAATTTGTGGAATAGTTTGTGCAAACTAAAAGATCAAAAATTACAACAAAAAAAATGCAGAATTGATTGTGGCTGGTACACACTCCTGTTGTAAACATAAAAACTAGTGGATTCTTTATGTTAAAATACTGCCAACAATATAGCAATGTAGTAAAACAATTTGTATGTACAGTTGAAGTCAGAATTATTAGCCCCCCTGTTTATTTTTTTCCCCAATTTCTGTTTAACGAAGAGAATATTTTTTTTAGCACATTTATAAAAATAATAGTTATAACAACTTATTTCTAATAACTGATTTATCTTTGCCATGATGACAGTAAATAATATTTGACTAGATATTTTTCAAGACATTTCTATACAGCTTAAAGTGACATTTAAAGGCTTAACTAGGTCAATTAGGTTAACTAGGCAGGTTAGGGTAATTAGGGAAGTTATTGTATAACGATGGTTTGTTCTGTAGACAATCGGGAAAAAAATTTGCTTAAAGGGGCTAATAATAACTGCATAAATGTGTATTTAAAAAATCTACAGAATCCTGTCAACCACAATTATAACCAAGCGTCATAACAGCAACTTTTGAAATATAAGGCTGGGTTCCCTACCAAAGGAAAAACAAGTGAAGAATTCATTTTGGGCAAGTGACGGTGATAAATTTACATTCAGTCAGCGAGCTGCATTTACCAGTTACTTTATTTTCTGTTTTTACTTCTGTTATAGCTTCCTTTCTCCTGAAATTTGAGATTGCAGTACTTGTGGTTCTTGAATGATTTATTTGCTTGTGATGCTCTTTAGTTTTATATTTGTTTGGACAAAGCTGTGCTAAGTTTGTTGGCTTATTGGCTTTATGGATATTCTCAATTGTTTCTCATATAGAACCTACCGGTTACTCGCATCTTGGACAACTTGATGGAAATGAAGTCAAACCCAGTGAGTGCTTATTTCTACCTTTCCTCACATCTTTTTATCTTTATATGTGTCATAAGCACTTACAAATACCCACTTATGATTTCCATGATAATTTTCTTTCCTGTTTAAAACCACAGGATGGAGAGTAAATGATGAGGTAATTTAAATTGTTTGGTGAACTATGCCTTTAAGGCCTGTCATGAATAAATACCACTAAAACTTCCTGAAAGTAGCAGCAGACAGAGTTAATGTGGGATTAATTAAGTTGTTCATTTATTCAGAATGGTTACTTCATTTAGATATTTTACAATTTACTCCCTGCAATTCAATATGTCTGCTTCTATACTAAATTGTTGGTGGGAAACATTACATGCATCTTAATATAAATTAAAAAAATTGTAAGTGAAATTTACCTTAATATCTTGTTATTTGAAAAGAGAGTCTGGAGAACAGATTTTTAAAGGTACTTTATGTAAGGTTTTGACTCTCCTAAAGCACAAATATCTCATAATAAGTTTGCAGATATTTAAGAAACATGCTAAATGAACATTCTTGTTTATCTGAAAAACAATGCTAAACTCAGATATTCTGCTTTGAAAATGTGTGTTACGTGCCGGAACATCTGTCTTTGTTTTGGTCAATTAACCTGCCCAATGCCAGTTTAGCCAATTATATTTCAGCACCCCGGGTTGCCTTGCTGGGAAACGGTGTATTTCATTCATTTAATCAGAAAGGCTCTTAAAGTATGTGCCCGTGACCAAAATGCAACCTCCAGTGGACAGTAGCAGACTCCAAAGTGAGACAGAGTTTCACATGAGGTGGTTATTAATTATTAAATAATATAAATATTACAAACAAAAACATTTGGTGAACAGGTTACATTGTAACCCTGTTCCCTAACAAAATGCTACGTTAAAAGATACGCAGTGATTAGCAATTTGACTGTTTGCACCAGAAAAAACGGGACAGAAATTTAAATGAAGTCATTCAGAAGCACAGAATAGTGCACTCACTGCACTCCAACGAAATGATAATTTTATTATCTAATTAATACCTATTAAATATATTTAACATTATTAAATGTAAATGCTAAATCACTGATATGTGTTGGCTTTCACTGATTCACAGTTCTGAAGTTCAAATGGTTTATTCTATTTTCAACATCTGAGGTAAACTGCCTGCTGCTGCTTTCAGTAGTATGGCAATAAATGTTATGTAAAATGGCATTTTAACTCACATTATTAGCATTTAGCAGTGAATAAAGCACATGAGGTGTACCTGAGCTGATCATTGTCATAGTTTTCTGTAGTTTAGCTGCAAGAAATAGAAGCCGTTTCTAAAATATAAATTTCAGATTTTGGTTAGGACAAAAACTCTTAATATGGAAAATATTCCTTCTGTCAAGTGCTGTTGATTTTATTTAGAACACAACCTAAATCAGTCATAGACTCGATAGTCAGGCTCGCTCTTGTTGATGTTGGCAAGCTGGCAACCTGCGCTTGCATGTGTTTTGAACCAGGAGTGCAATACCTAGTTAAACCACTGGGTGTCAAACTTACATACTGCACCTTTAATGACATTTTACTATCCCACGAGGCCATGTGAGAGCATTTATGAATAGCAGTGAAGTTACTTAAGTGATTTTGTAGTCATATTTAAGAGTACAAGATTTTAAGTGCGGTAATTATTTAGGTATTGCTTAGACTTTGAAATTATATTATCTGCCAAACAAAAACAGACAATAATAATAAAAATCTAAGCTATAACAAAATGTCTTTCAATCTGTTATCTAAAAGTCTAAATTCCAAAATGTTTAAAGATCATAGGGTGGTTGTGTCCAGTGTGCTTATGGTATTGCGTATCGCCAAGGCTCACTGCTCTACCTCCCACTGCGGACTAATGCGTATGACACTGCAGCGCTATGGGACACTGACTTTGCTCTGAACGGGGCACTGAAGAGGCTCTTTGAGTGTGCCGAGACCTCAATCCAGGCAATCTGAGCTGCACAGTTATTGCGACTGTCTCAGCCAGGGGAACACCTGTGGAGAGAGAGAGAGAGAGAGAGAGAGAGAGTTTCTAGTGAGAGAACCCAAAGCATGATGTATTAAGTTTCTAGGGCTGAGGGATTTTGGAAGCGGTCCATTTGGGCTTTTCACCTTTTGTGAGGCAGAACAAAGGTTCAAACCCCTAACGTGCACAGTGCTACAGGACATCTACACAGAAGCCGAAGCCATTTGAGTGATAAAAGGATTGTGTTCTGCTACACTCGAGGATCTCATTGTCTGCAAAATGTCTGTATATGAAGCATCAGGTATTTGAACACACTGACTGTTTTCGAGTTATTATTGGATCCCCTTGAAGGAAAAATTGGCTTTTGAAATTTCTCCCAATGCTTTGAAATCATCTAACTGCTGGGACGGCGTGGGGGGAATGATTGATGCTGATTTTTTTTATGAATGTGGAATTACCACAAAGGATATGATGTGGCAAATCTTTGACAGCACCCTCGTAATATGACTTTTAGGACTCCTCTATCTTGAATTCTCCCCAAGCACAATTCCAGGAACTATCTCGACGTGTTTTCAATATAAAATGCTGTAATTGAGACAGCTAGCTGACATATTAGCTCCTGCACTCATTAGCTTATGTAACAGCGGCCTTTTAGCTTCCCCTTCTCGTACTGTGACATAAAGACCTTATTTCCTTCTGAAACACCCTCAGGGTCCCTCTGATCTTCTCGCTCTTAAAAGCTGGGGTGGACAGATTGCTATATCCTGTTACCGACTGGAAATGCTTCCCCTTCTTGCCCATAAACTTGAATTGAACATAACCGTATTATCATTTTCTCAGCTACTGGAATTTCAGTGCCCTGCACAATACGTCTGTTGTTGGAGGAGATGGGGCAGCTGAGCTCTCCAGAATCTCCTGCCTCCACCATCCCTCAGATAGTCCTTGCAGATGGGCCTGTGCGACAAGGTCTCAATAGTGTGTTCGGCATTTGCTATTAATATTGAGCTTTGTAACCCGGCAAGGGTAAACCGATAGCAGAAAAATCTGAAGCATTTCAGCATTTGGAAGTGCAGCGGGGCTCTTCTATCAGTAAGTTGATGGCGAAGTATTTCTTCCAGGAATTAAGTAGGTGCCAGGTATGCCAGTCTGACTTGGGTCCCATGGGGAAAGAGACAGCCTTGGCCCATCCAATGCGGAGGATGAGGAAGTAGGAGGCCACTGGCCCCTACCTCAGAGACAGTGCTCCTTAATTTGTGGCAAGAGTCTTCAAAGCAGAGAGATGATAATCTCGTTCTTTGAGTCAGACATTTTACTGTTTAAGACTTCTGGTTTCCAGACGAATGGTTGCTGGGAAGCATTAGATCTTGATAAGCGTTTAATGTAGATGGATGAGGTGGTTTTTAGGAGATGGTGATGTGGGGAGGGTGCGAGGGTGACTGTTATTTCATCTTTAATTTACTTACGCACTCTGTAATCCCTAATGTTATGTGTTGTGATTTTTGTAGGAGACTGATGACTACAGATACTTTGATCCCAAGATGCTTCGTGGAAGCGAGAGGTAGGACACTGAAGATGAAGACTAGTCTCCTTCTATTTTCAAATGATACATCTCTGTGTTTGACTTGGTCCCACTGTATTCAAATATTATGTTAAAGGCATTTGATCCATGGAGGAATTCAAATTCGCTTGTGTCTTTATTACATACACATAAGGCAGGATTGAAGTTAGGCAAATAACGGATCTGTACATCCTTGCCAGAGCTGTAACTTTCCATTGAAAATATTTTGAATATAAGAAGATCTGTCTGTTTTCCTCACAACTATTGACTGTTTTCACTCTCTGCCGGTGATGATGAATTAATCCGTACCTTTTAACTCCCTCAGCTCCATTCCGAGGAACAAGAACCCCTTTCAGGAGGCGAGTATAAAATCAGTGATGGTATCTAATGGCCTTGATTTACACCGTGAGCATGTTGATACGGTATCTTCACACTTTGGCACCTATGCTCTGTTACCTGGCAGGGTTAATCTATGGCACAGATATCTTTCTGTTCCTAGTTGAGATTAAGCCTTACTGCAGACAAAGTGAGCTGGAAGCCCATTGTCTGAGCTCACGTCTGTTGGAGAGCCATTTGAGTCTTCTAATAAAATATTGCATGGTTTTTATTTTTGTGCAGGGCGTGTTGAAATTCACACAAGATTAAACTTGAACAAATAATGACAACTTTTGATTCCACAGGCTATCGTCTTTGTTGTTGGAGGAGGCAATTACATAGAGTATCAAAATCTTGTTGACTACACAAAGGTATGACACATTTTGAAATGTTCTGGAACTGTTTGCTTTTGAAGATGAGTGTAACGATTTCCTTCTCTACAGACCAGGCAAGGAAAGCGGATTCTTTATGGCTGTAGTGAGCTGTTCAATGCTGCCCAGTTCATTAAACAGGTATGATTAAACAGCATAAACCAATAGGAAGTGCATGTTGTATATATACATTCAAGGTGTAACTTGCCTAATTTACCTTAAGCTGAAAGTACAAATTCATTAAAACATTATCACATACAAGAACTGAATTCTGTGAAAAATCAACTGCCCTGCAATTCATTGCTCAAAAATCCGACAGATTATCCTTGAGTTGGAGGAAACAACACTGCTTTGAGTGTGTTGGAATGCTTTTTGCTGGGCGAAGCAAATCTCTGTTGCACTTTGTCTTAACAAAGTTGACACCAAGTCATAACGTGCCTTTCCCTCTGTAAATATTTTTAAAACATTTTGCCCAGTTTTTTCCACATCAAATTCTTTTTAATATACTTTTAACTCATTTGCTTTTTGGGGTGAAAACAAGGGGGAGGGTTTTATGTCTCTCTTCTCCCTATTTTTCCTATGGTCATGAACTTCTATGACACTGACTGTGTGCAGCATAATTGTTGAGTAGTAATCCTGCTTTTGTTAAAGTGTTAATGTGATTATGCTGTATCAGAGCGGTTAAGACTAAACCCATTCATTTCTCCCTAGCTCTCTCAGCTTGGTCAGAAATAGGTGGAGTGATGAAGTCCTGTTATCCACCATTCTCAAATCTGGAATCGAGATCTCTTCAGTTGTACTCCATTAAAACCCCTCTAACTACAGAATCATGCATATTTCATTACTGGAGACTGTCTTTCTTATACTATTTAATTAAATTCTAAATGTTCCCAAAAATAAAGTTTAACAGTCTTAAGCACCGATTTTGTTTTGCTTACTTTCTTTGAGTCTGCTTTGGGTCATCTGCATAGATGTACACATCTCATGCCGCATAATGGGCTTGTTGACGTCGCGTGAATTCAGGAGCAAAGGTAAATGCCTTAAGTGGTTTGGTGTCTGTGAAGAGCTGACCTAGAAATTTCAATCTTTAAAGTCTTTAAAAAGATAAGGAGATTACACCTAGTCTAGATGAACACTGGTGCTCTTACAGTAAAGGCCATTTGGTGTAGTCTGCTGGTTGTTCTTGGCTTCCACCAAAGAAGAGAGCAATACTGTTAACCCCATCAAACATCATCCTGAGATGACTCCAACCTAAAGGTTTTCATTAAGATGGACATTCACAGCATTCCTCCCACAAACATCACAGTCTACCGTGTGTCGGATGGAGGAGAAACAGCTATCGGCGTCTATTTGGTGATACTAGGTAACTGCATTGAATTATTTGTGCCTTGCTAAGATTTGTTTCTTCCTGAGCTATAGCAAATACTTTTGAGATGGAAGAGTAGGTGAATTTTATCTTTTCATTTTTGATAGGATGGCTCTCATGGATTGGAAATGGGACTGTAATATTGCTTTTAACAAAGCAAAGAAAGGCACTCGAACCACAGGATTTCTTGACTCTCAACCTTGCCATTTCTGATGCCAGCATATCTATTTTTGGATATTCTCGAGGGATCCTTGAAGTTTTTGATGTGTTCAGAGATGAAGGCTATCTTATAAAGACATTTTGGACTTGCAAGGTAAGGGTATGACATTGGCACTCTTATGTCACTTAAAACTTGGTCCAGTATTTCTGAAGACTAATGGTTTCCATTGTATGAAAAGAAACATTTTAAGATTTTTGCATTTCAAAGAGGAAATAAATACAGTTTAGGAATGAAATGCAAGTAAACGATGAATGTTGTATTTGAGATTCTCAAGATGAATTTAGAAACTTCAAACGAACGAATGACTTTTCGTGGTATTCCTTTCATTTCAATGAATGTTCTTAAAGGACATCAAAATATCTGGTGTTGGAGGTCCATCACTGTGTTACCTTCGCAGTCTGGCAGGTGGTGTTTTGAAGCAGGAGGGGCTGAAGAGATGAATTATTTGTAGTCGTTCCAAGTACACAGGCATGTGTCCTTTTATCCCCTAATCTTGCTGGCTTGTTCCCCAGTGCCTGTTTAGTGGGTGATGAGACAAGTCAGAGTGATTACTTTCTCAGGTTTGCAGAGAATGCTAGACCTGCTTGCAATGTATAAGATTTTGTGTCTTGGCCAGGTGGACGGATTCCTAATCCTGCTCTTCGGACTCATCAGCATCAACACACTGACAGCCATCAGTGTCATCCGCTACATCAAAGGCTGCCACCCTCATCATGGTATGCTCCGTCTTGGCCAAACATTTTGGGTTATTATACCTTTGTATAGCTTAGTTTTGTGTGTGTGTGTTTTTTTTTTTTACTCCAGGTCCATTATTGAAAGCTGTTCTGTAATAGTTATGCAACAATATCTCCGCATAATCAACTTTTTTCTTTTTGTGTGCTTCCCCAAGACTATTTGGGTACAATAGTAGCATATGTTACTGCTAGATGGGTTAAAAAATGCCATCCTATAATAGTAATATTAAAAAAAATCATAATATAATCATACACAATCATAAAAATAGCTGTCTTTATATGAGCGAAGAAACCCTGGTGGATCATCCAATTTCAGGGTTCTTGGCCCTGAAACATTATTAGGGAGTAGGATGAGCAAAAGTAGGGAGTTAAATGATAGCAGTGTTATTTTTGACAGCAAATTTTGATTTAGTTTTAGTCTTAGTCTTTTGACTAAGATTCCATTTTAGTTTTAGTCATATTTTAGTCTTCTGAATCATTTTAGTTTTAGTAACATATATTTGGTAACATATATATTTAGTTTTAGTAACTAACATATATTTGTTTTTTCCGTTGAAGACTAAAAGTTAGACATGCATTGTTTATTTATATCATAAGTAATATGTACAATTATGTGGCAGCAATCAACCCACATGTAAGAACAGTAGCCTACTGAAAATGCAGGATTGTGCTATTATTTAGCAAACTTTTTATTTTAATGTGGTAAACTACTAATCTTTTTAACCAGTCTGTTGAACAGTTTCAAGCCATTAAATCTTAAAAGGGATTAAAATAGTTTAAGTCTGCAATGTCTGTCTATACGGTAGCAAGCAGAATAGAGGAAATCTAAAGCGAAAATGTAGGTAAAAAATAAGTGCGCTTTACTTGAAGGCAGTTTCGTTATATTGCATGCTGTATGCAACTCCCTGATAAGTGGAGATTATTGCACTACAGTATCATTACATCCTTACAGATGTAAAAATAATCGCTGAATGATGTCCTGAATAAAGCAAGCAGTTTTTGTTTTGTGGTAGTTACACTGTAAATGGCTGCAGTCATGACGATTGCAGCAGACAGCACACGTCAACCTAGCACGATCTGGGTTAGCTAAACTGTAACTGTAAGCCACAAATAAAGTGAAAAACAAGAAGGTTATGATCATCTGAATATAAGATTTACCAAAAGGTCAGTGAGAGGCTATACCATTTCAGTTAAGCAAAAGCACACACTCGGGTAAATAAAAAAGATTTTACCTTTGCGTGAATTCCGGGATGATTCCTTGGCATGCTGATGTTGCTTTAGATTTGTTTTTATTATAGTTTAACCAGACAGACAGACAGACGGACACCCCAATGGATGATTATATAATCGCCTGTGTCTTCTGGTGGATCAGTTACTTTTCAAATGTGCGTGTTTGCATCACACACCAAGATTAATTCTGATTAAATATTTCTTTTAAAACTTCCCTGAATTGCTTTCTCGTCTTGTTTTTATTAGTTAACAGTAATGTCAGTATATTTTTATTGTAGTTGTCGTCATCATCACCAGACAGAGTTAGAAATTAGCAAATTTGGTTCACTTAGCCTTGTCTGAAAAATCAGTATATAAACCAGATTTAACTAAACAAAACTTGACCAAAACAAAACCATAAATTCAGTCTTTGATAAATTTAGAACAATGTTATTTTATCACTTTATCCTTGGCTGCACAAATACTAGATAAATCAGCATGATTATATTATGAAGACTGTGTTGATCAGAGTCTTTCTGCCATGTCCTTCAGCTCATCACATCAACAAGCGTAATATCTGCTTGGTCATAACTGCAGTCTGGCTGTTCTGTCTGTTCTGGGCGGGAGCTCCACTGCTCGGCTGGGGTAGTTACAGAGGTAGGATCTAAGCAGGGACAGAATTATTTTTTCTTAAAAATAAATTGATAATGAGATTTCATTCAATTGCACTTCTTCCGCAGCACGTGGGTACGGGACATGTGAAATCGACTGGACAAGAGCTCTGTATTCCATTCCATTTAAGCTCTACGTCATTGGCATTTTCTTTTTCAACTTCTTCGTGCCACTGTTCATTATAGTGTTTGCATACGTGTCCATAATCCGCACCGTTAACTCCAGCCACAAATCCAGCCAGGGAGGAGATGTCAGCGAGAGACAGAAGAAGATAGAGCGCAGCATTACACGGGTAAAACCACTATCATTTGACCAAAGATTAGTGCTGAATTCCTTAACCCTAAAAGTCAGATATCTGTCAAGTTGATTTGAAAACCAGGATGGACCCGGCCATTGATGAACATCTCAACTGATAAAAAGGCAGTAAGATCTGAGGCACGGGCAAACAGAAATGCTATTTTGTTTCACTTTAGTTGATGCGCTAAATAGCCATGTTGAATTCTAAAGTTGTGGTTGCTGTGGTTCTTAGCAGTTTCCAAATTAGTGTTCTGACCTGCAGGGACCAAATTCCAAAGTTAGGATTTCCAACATCTGAGTACAAATAGTACACACCATAAAGCCACAGTCCTGCTAGAATTCAGGCATATAAAGTTATGAACACTGCTAAGGTTATAATGTGACATCACACTGCTGTTTTGCTTAATCTAACATGCTGAGCAGCTGTATTCAATTTTAAATTCACAAGTGTTGTGGTTCCTTCAAGAGTTGAAATTCTGATATTTCAACTGGTTTAACTGGAAAGGGCTGGATTAACATAAGGGCTAGGTGGGGCTGAAGTCCTAGGGCCTGCAAGAGGATGGGGCCCTTGATTTGCTGAAGAATTCATCTGCGCCATGATGTGGAAATTCATTTCAGTTCGTTGCTGTTCAAAAACAGCTGTTAAACAATGGTTTGGAGTGGCTGTAGCCCAATCTGTATTTTAAGTAGCGCTGTCTTAGTCCCCAGTAAGGGTGACCAGATGTCCCAGGACAGTTTCTTATTTCGGCTCTACTACAAGAACAGTCCAGTTTAATGTATTCTAACCAAGTGCATTGTAGAACAAAAAATAAGATTCAAACAGTATTTATTATTAACGTGCAGTAAGAGAAGCCAAGATAGGCGGAATCATTCTGTAGATGTTAATGGATTCATAACTAGGCCCAAACGGAATCTGTGCACAGAAATTCCACAGATTTTTTTGTACAAAATTCTCCACAGAAATAGCAAAAAATGTCCGCAGATTCTGTCTGACCATACTCACAACTAATCGATGTCTTGGCACTCACACAATCCTGCCTTCAAATAATATAACCAAGACAGTTGGCAACCAAATCAAATAGCCTGCACAACAGCTATCAAGAGGTCCATCAGTACAGAGTTGCCCATATATTGCAAGAAAATATATGCTTAAATCTAACTGAACCACTTAGAGAGTGAACTTTTAAATAAATGAATGTCCTAGGCGATGTGATGGCACAGTGTAGCACGTTCTCGGCTGGGTCAGTTGGCATTTCTGTGTTTGCTTAGGTTTCCTCCGGGTGCTCCAATTTCCCTCTCAAGTCCAAAGACGTGGTATAGGTGAATTGGGTATGCTATGAAATTGACCGTTGTGTGTGTGTGTGTGTGTGTGTGTGTGTGTGTGTGTGTGTGTGTGTGTGTGTGTGTGTGTGTGTGTGTGTGTGTGTGTGTGTGTGTGTGTGTGTGTGTGTGTGTGTGTGTGTGTGTGTGTGTGTGTGTGTGTGTGTGTGTGTGTGTGTGTGTGTGTGTGTGTGTGTGTGTGTGTGTGTGTGTGTGTGTGTGTGTGTGTGTGTGTGTGTGTGTGTGTGTGTGTGTGTGTGTTAGGGCTGTGCAATCAATCAAAAATCCGATTTCGATTTTGGCTTATAACGATTATGAAAAACCTTTAATTGAGATAAATGATTACTGCGTCATATACCGCCCCCTTTCACACATTTGTTACTCTTAAAAGCGCGAAAGACACAGAAGCATGCGATCAGCATTCAGTCTCAGTCGCACACTGAGACGAGCAGAGCTTAGACATCTAAGGTCATCTTAACGTCAATTAGGGGTCAAAACGCCGTGTTTATTGATTATTCATATTAACACTCATTTGTGTAATAAAAAAACGAGTTGAGAATCAAAAACAAGTGAAAGCGAAACCATTAAAGTGACAGCGCGCAATATTCCTGCTGCCGTCTGTTTTTATCATTAATCAAACAACTAAAGGAAAAAATCCCTCACTGCTCTTGACTGAAAGACTTTTGTAGCTAAAGTGTTTTTCTTACAGTGAAGATGCTTATAGCACAGTTTGTTTCATATTTTTATTTTATTGTATTTGTTTCTCTTTCCTTTGCAGAGTGGAAAATAACTGTATTTATGCAGTTGAAGTTAGAATTATTAGCCCTCCTGAATATTAGCAACCCTTTTTTTCCCCAATTTCTGTTTAATGGAAAGAAGATTTTTTTTACTTATTTCTGAACAATAGTTTTAATCACTCATTTATAATAACTGATTTAACCACTTCAACTCTGCGGTCCGTGACGTCATTGACTTTCGCTTTCAGATTTAAAGGGCTAGCATTGCACCAGGCCCCCGTAAGTGGTGTCGTTTGAAAGTGTAGAATCTATATTTTATGCACATATGCATCACTTTGGTTTTTATTCTACTGTATAAAATTTATTTACACTTATATACAGAGTATTTTGGATACCCGAGCTAGGTATTTTACATTGGTTCATTTTCATATTTTTTTACATGACACATGTACAAGTTATAGCTCAAATGAAAGCTCTTGCTGGTGCTCATACTGTTCTATCATTCTTTTTACTGAATTATATTCATATGCCAAACAGTTGTTAAATTAATTGTGGTGTTTCCATGGCGCAGAAATGTAAACAATACATTCATGATCAATAAGCAGCTCCAGAAAGCACAGACAGCTGTCATCTCTTACCCTATGCTGTGCCCTTCAGGGCCATTCTCCTCTGTTTTTGAGGTGATGTGCATAAGTAATCCTTTTATATGTCTGATGTGGTCCAATCACAGTAAGTTATGTTTGATCAAACAAAAGAATAGTGAAATATGTAAACAAGGATCGGTCTCTGTGGCTTGAACAGCACCTTTCATCATATGGAATGCAATAACTTTAGCATAGATTATGGTAGAGACCTTTTTCTTTTTTCCTATGATTACAGACATGTGCAGGAACCACCAAAATTATTTACATCACGCTAGACTACACAGAACCTAAAAGGTACACTTTCAAATTTTAGTTTATAAAAAAAAATACTAAAAGTGCCTCTTTTTTTAGGTGTTTATTATAACACAGACAACATATGCAGTTATTTTAAACACTTTCAATAGTGTTTTATGAAAATCCAAAGGGTTTTCTTTAAAATAATACCAAATTTTTGCATTTACACCTCTGCATGTGGATTTGGGAAGCTTTTAAATTTGGGTAGGCAAAATCCAGGCGGAAATCCCAAAATAGCAGCAGAGTTTAAGTGGTTAATTTAATTTTGCTCTGATGACAGTACAAAATATTTTACTAGATATTTTTTTCAAAATATAAGCATTCAAAGTGCAATTCAAAGGCTTAATTAGGGTAATTAGGCAGTTCATTGTATAACAGTGGTTTCTTCTGCAGGCAATCAAAAATATATTGCTTAAGGAGGCTAATAATATTGACCGTAAAATAGGTTTCAAAAAATGTAAACCTGCTTTTATTCCAGCTGAAATAAAACAAATAAGCCTTTCTCCAAAAGAAAAAAATATTAGAGGAAATACCGTAAGCTCCATGTTACGGGCTGATCTGGGTAAGCAGATTCACCCCGAACATTTTTCAAATGTTCCCTTAAGTAATCCAAGAATCCCCTCAAGGAAAGGGTTGTGTAAATAACAAAAGGCATTTTCATTTAGTACTGCCTGTGTGAAAGTCACACCCTTTACAGTGGTTCAAAAGATGCCTAAAGTTGTTTATTTATTGTTTTGATTATGTCTATTACTGAGAGAATGAGACCATTGTACCAGTCGCACTGAGACATTTCAAATGAAATTAAACATGATAGATAAAGTCACTTGGGTTAATTTAGAACATTCAGACTTTGAAATGACCATATGTGTGAGTTGGGGTGGTTGAAGTCGAGATTCAGGGGATTCAAATGCAGATGTAGGGGGAGCTGGCTATTCCCGTATTCCCACCTGCTGGGTTGTGGAGTTAATTGTCTCTGTTTTCAGCTCATGTTTTGAATTGTCAAAGACATCAAAGTATTTGTGATATCTCACGCCTTACAAAAGACAATCAAATACTGGCGCTGATTTTTTTTAGACAATATATCTATATATCTGAGAGGAAAAAACATGTTAAGCTTCTTTAATTGATTGACTCAGGATCAAATGGGAAAAAAGAATCAGGGATTTGAAAGATATTTTAGGGATTTCTGGATAGCTAATGTTTGAAGTTTTTTTTTAAGATAGCTCTATTTTATTGTAATGCACTCATTTAGGAAGTATTGCAAATGTGTTTATTTATTTTTTTTGCTGATTTTGATTAATTTTGTATGCTTGTAGCCTACGCCTACTTATATTAAATATAAAACATTTATAATAATCAAATATAAATCAAATAGTGGAAAATTAAATAATAATATTAATTAGCAAATTTATAATAATAATAATATTATTAGTGAAGAAAAACCTACTTTTGTGAGGTGAAAAAATAAATGGGGCCCCTGGGCCCAATTAGGCATGGGATGATAACTGTTTTCAAGGTTCATGTCGGTTTGAAAAAGTCAAGGTTTTAAAACATTCCTACGATATATGTATTTATATTTTTTTTTAAATGTATTTATGTGTTTTTACAACTATTTTATTTAGTTTTAAAGGCAACAGCGTCTCCAGCTGAAAAGACTTCACTGTTGCAAAATATTTCAAATAGTTTCTTAATTTAGTTTTTTAAAGTAAAATATATTGTGTTCAGTGGGGGAAATTGACCTTTTTTAACCAGACATTTAAAAACAACATTTTTTAGAGTAGTAATAATACTGTGAAACCATGATATTTTTATTCAGTTATCACACCATCAGAATCTTATACCGGCCCATGCCTAGCCCTAATATGTTCTTAATCCAGCCCACGGTGACATTCTAGTCAGCATGTTCCTTCTGGGGACTTCTCAAAAGAAGAACCTCAACTCTCTGCGAAGCCACAGTGCCATTAGACTTTGCAACAGCAAATGTCAACACATCTATTTGTTGTCCTGTATTTTTGCTCCAGGTCTCCCTCATTCTGTGTGCGGCCTTCCTGTTGGCCTGGTCCCCATATGCAGTCATTTCCATGTGGTCCGCCTTGGGTTACCAAATACCCACACTCAACGGCATCCTGGCAAGCTTGTTTGCCAAGTCAGCAAGTTTTTACAATCCGTTTATCTACATTGGCATGAGCTCTAAGTTCCGGAAGGACCTGCAGGCTTTGTTTTACTGCCTCAGACCAACATCAGCACACAGACCCACCCCTCCTGCACCGCTGGCCCAGCCTGCTGATGTGCAGCTCAATGTGGAGGATGAACCAGTAGAGATGGACCATAATCTGAGTGAACACATCCATGAGGAGAAGGCTGAGACCCCTTCTGAAGTGGAGTGCCAAAATAGCCCATTAATCGAGCCCCACAACATCAGCCCTCATGGATTAATGAGGAAACCAAGCAACTCTGGAAGACTTTAGCTGCCTTTATTATATTAGTTAATGTCCTCTGTTTATATAAAGCCAATGGTAATAATACAGAACATGCACTTAATTTCATTTCAAATAGCAACACACTTGGACAGTCCGTGCTCCCAGTAATACTTCATGTTAATCACAATGTTTTATGAGAGTTCAAATAAATCTTCATAAGGCCGTAATCATTAATGAGATTATAATAAGCACCAGCAGCTGGAATGGTGGTGAAGACCTTTAAGATGGGTTGGAAGGATTAACAAAGGTGGATTTCTAAATTGAGTTTGGTGACTGCAGAGTTAAAACCTTGTGTCTCGCCACAAGTGTCCTCAAACGAGTGTTTGACCAGACTGTAATGTCAGGACAGAGTACAAATTACTCAAGCGAGGAACGAACAGAACAGTCAGGTAATGGTGCCGTGTTTACTTTATCCAGACACATAATTCAAAAGCAGCAGGCATGCTCGTAGTCAGAGGAACAGTGAAAGTTTGAGTCCAAACAGAGCAGCAGGAACAGTCAAACAACCCAGAGCCATAATTCCATGAAGAAACAAGGTCAATGATTTCAGAACAAATAGATTAACACCAAACAACTCAACTCGAAAATGAATACACAGATAAGCAAAAACAAAATCACTTGAAAAGCATCAGTTTATAAGTGAAATGCAATACTTTTTTGTTCAAATGTTTTGTACAGTACACATGGATTTACACTGATTATTTCTGTCAGTGTCTGCAATTGACAATCTATTTAGATGTTTGAAAGGTTCGCACAGCATCTTATGATAACTTGAATATTGTCAATGAATTTGCATTTTAAGTCATTTTCTATTTGTGATTAAAATTTGTAATTGACAAAGTCAGAAAACTAATTTGACGCAACAAACGTTAAATTGATTTCATCTGTCAGATCCATATTAATCAGCACTAGCGTTTGTGCTTTACTCAGTGTGTGGAACTTCTAAGTTTCACGCGCAGATCAAAAACTGGCAGGAGTTTCTCTGGTGGAGGACAGTGAGTGACTCAATATAAACTTTAAGACTGCGCGAAGATCAAATTTGCCTCTCTGTAAGTTCCTGGACCACACAGTAACATGCTAGTAAACGCGTTTGGGAATCGTGGTGCAGTTTTCTCTCAAAATAAACTGTAAATATAGATGGACACCCCGCCCAATTTGCGTTGCTGCAGTGCGTCGTCAAAAGTGTCTTGGCAAGGCTTCGATTGCAGTGGTGGTTTGTGATCTGCGTGGAGCATAGAAAAGCCCTGACTTCAGTAACTTCAAATCTTGAAAGTCAGATAATGGATTTAAACTGTTTTCCTTTTGGTTTACTATTTCTAATTTGAATGTAACATAAATGCAATGTATAAATGTAATATAAATTAAATAAAGTCTTTTTACAATGAAAATGGCCTTTTCTGTCTTTCAGCTGCCCCAATATTTAAGCTTTTATAATAGTTTGGGTGCGAGTCTGTGCAGTTTATAGCATATCATTGTGTTAAAAAATGTACCATATTAGGTACAGTAGGTGATTAGGTAAAGTAACTGGTTAAGTGTTGACAAAAACATTTTATTATAATTATTAGAAGTTGTCTCACAAAGGTAAAAATTGCTCTTGGAAATCAATTGACTTAAGGGAAAAGTACATTTCTGTTTGTGAGGAGTATAAAAAAAAGAGAGAAGTTTGAATATAATCTGGAAAAATAACCATATTGTGCTTGTGACAATGTCAACTTATACTTCATTTATAAGAATACATAGCAGTCTATAGATATTGGAAAACTACTTACTGTAGTCATAGTTCAGTACATGCACGTGTTATATCGTGAGCTTCCTCATGGAAATCTTGTTTGAGCAAAAAACAAAACAAAACCAAACAGTCCAATTATTGGTGTTGGGGTAAACTAAAATCCTTTTAAGGGTATTCTATAGTCGTCTTCAGTCTCATAATTCCCCATCATTTTAATCTCAAGAAGGAGCAATTGCTATATACTGCAATCACAACATGACACCCTGAGATATAAACATTTTATCTACTTAGCCAATTATTGAAGCCATTTCCCTTTCAAATGAACTGTTTTAAATAAAATGCTGTGATAACAATAACAACAGTTTTCCCTGTGTTGTCGAGATCAAATGGAACATGTTGCTTCAGTAACATTAGCTAACCAACAAACTATCTAGCATAGATGGCCAAAAATTATGACGACCTATTTACTCAGAGGTACATTACTGCCAGTGATCGGTTGCAGCTGGAAATGCATCTGCTGTGTAAACAAATGCTGGATAAGTTGGTGGTTCATTCCGCTGTGGCGACCTCAGATAAATTAAGGAACTAAGCCTAAAATAAAATGAATGAAACATACTGTAGCCCACTTCCAGTTAATAACCTGCTAAGGAGATACTGGCAGCAAGGCAACATGTCACACACAAGTGGTTTGTAAACATGCCCATCGTTTCAGACAATTGTCATTTGATAAGACATTTACTGAATTTGTTCAAATATTTTTTGTTTGATAATGAAGAATGATCATTTTGCATGCTTGTATTTCAAAGTACATCACAAGTCTGACGTTTCGATTGTTTGCTGTGTGCATTGTTAACATTCACCACCCTTCCAAATAAGGTAAAAACTGATTCTTTTATTCTAGGGGAAATCCTAGAGTTGTATACTGAGAATGTTTGCACTTACTTAAGCCACATATTTCTATCCCTGATGGCACTTTGATGTTAAAAAAACATACATTATACATTGAATTAACATAACATTGTCATTAAACCACATGGCTGAAATTGAATCTTGACATGTTTTTTGACTCTAATGTTAGATGTCAATTTGATGTCGAACTATGTCAGAGAACGGTATAATAGTGTATTATGCATTCTATGGCACCTTTAATATCTATGATTTCCCATAAGGTCTAAGCTTTTACTGCTAAGTAATAGCAGTGATGAAGTCTGTTATATGTATATCTGATGCTGTCAACTTCAAATTATATGAATAAAAAAAAAAAACACCACAAAAAAACTGTTCAGGCTTACGTGTGAAAGGGTGAAATTCCGAGATCGCTAAATTATAACGAGTCAGATATATTTTTCCTATCCCAATTTGACATATGTAGAAAAGTTGCCAAAACCAAATGGCGCCGACACATTGACATACATGGTTTATGTCTGCATTTATGTCTATGGCAGAAATGGGCCAAAGAGGACAAAGGGGTGTCTGTGTATTTATTATGTCTATGTTTCGCTTGACATGACAGACCAAGGTGTAACCATGTCTTGTTGGGGAGGCCAATTTGTTGGCCTAAAAAATGCAGCTTTGGCAACATAAACCTGCAGTTCTGCAAGAAAGATCACTGTGAGCTGTAAACTCAAAACTGTGAGAAATAAAGGAAAATTGTGGGATTAAAGTTGCAATTACTTAATTTCTATGTATTTTATTATTATTCAGGAGAAGAGAGCAGGCTTCCATAAAAGCCTGACCTTACATGTGTGGGAAATGTCCACATTCTGTCCATTTGCAGTACTCAAACACTCTTTAAATACTGAAATAATAACACAATAATTAGTTGCATGTGGTGGACACACAAGAGGATCATGGTGTTTTGTGTTGAATGTTTTCTCTTTATTAGCGCTTTCAGAGGTTAAAGTAGGCCCGTTACGCAAGGAGATGTTTTTGGCTCAGACAACGGTTGCTTATTTTGGTGCAAGACAGTTTGAAAAATAATGAATTGTGGAAATAATTAATCAGCTTGGTGTTGTATAATTGTGTAATTTATGGGAGAAAAGTCTTAAGGGGAAGTGGAGCATCTGCTGAAAGAGATGTCGTCCAATGTACACTATCTTGTTTAGCGGTGGGTACGATTTGACATGTTTTTGTAAGTAATTCTCTCATGCTTACAAGACTGTGTTTGTTTTCAAAATTGTTGTTAAAAAAGTAACAATGGGAAATATTATTGCAATATAAAACATCCCTAATATATTTACAATGCAATTTTTTTATTTTTTTTATTTTTGAGATTAATTGTTTCCACATGCTCATTTGATGCTCAGAAGAAATGATTTACTATTATATGCAAAATGTTAACAAGTGCTCTGATCAAATTTCTTGCATAAATAGAAAGTTCAGAGTGAAAAGCAGGCATTATTTGCTTATTATTAATTCCAAAGCATCTGTTAAAAGTAAAGTTTTTTATTATTTGTTTTTATTTTAAAACAGAACAGCAGCTATATGATATTTTTTGTTGTTTTGTTTGTTAAATTAGTTTTTTTTGTAAGTCTTTAATGTCACTTTTGATTAATTTAAAGCAATCCATTTAATTTGCTTTAGAGTTACAGTGTTCAGCATAATTGAGTACATCCCATTTTAAAAATGAGTCTTTTTCTCAATTTCTTAGTGAATATAGGCAATGGATTTTGGTGCATTTAAACACAACAGATTTATTAAACAGATATATTTCTTCAAATAATATTTTAGTCACCAAACATATTTAGACATTGAAAGATAATACAATTAAATTCAATCAAAAATTGCAAAAAAAATAAATAAATAAATTACAACCTACAAAGTTTCAACAAAATTTTTAAATTTCTTTGCTTCTCTTGATTTTTCCTTTTTTAAATTTGTATTTAATATTTTTCTGTAACACATTTGGGTGTACTGGTTTTTGGAGCATTATAGTAAGTGATTTTGTTAGATAAGCTCCAGATTTGGAGCTTATAGCTTCCCATTAAAAATATGAATTTAAAAGATAGATTTTTGTGGGGTCTACTTATATAAGCTGAGCACTGTAACACACGTCTAAAATGTCAAAAAGAGTTGCTGCCTCAAATTCTAGGTTAAATCAAATTAACTGTACAAGTAACTTTAACTTGCATGATGTAAATAACTTTAAAAATCAAGACAATTATTATTATTATTATTATTATTATTATTATTATTATTATTATTGCCAATTTAAAGTTAAATTAAACTTATGTTCACATGACAAAAACTTATTTTATGA